GATGTCTTACTATGTATGTAGCTAGTTTATTACAAATAAATAATAACTCTTAATTAATCCATTATTATTATTATTATTATTATAATTCAATGTTGCACACACTCTTGTACTTTATTTTCTGAGTAATTTCCAACTATACTACAATAGAATTTTATATTGTATCTAATATGCCGTAAAGTAATAAAGCCGTACATAATCCAAAATGTAATATATCGTTATAAATTTATTGGGCAAACAACACTTTTGCTACCACGTCTTGGAGAAGAAATTTTATCCATAGTCCAGAATTTAATCGTCACATTGATTACTGTCACAAATGTAACGCTAGACTCTCAACGGAAATCAACGCTTGATACTGATATGTGACACTAGTAGTGAACGCGTGTTAAATACTATAGATAATTTTAATAAAATAAAATTCCCCTTTTCAACCCACGTGCGTGCATATACACAATTTAAAATAAAAAAGTTTTCTCCAAAATTGTTTTAAAATCCAAATTTTACTATAACATGGTGGTACAATAATTCATAAGAGCAACGATACTTCTCGTCATTTGTCGCTAATTTATTATATCACATAACAACATATAATTTATAACAATACAAATTTTCGGATGAGACTGCTTTAAACGCACTAATCGTATAATTTTATATTTTTTTGTATTTAAATGTTAAATAATAATAAAGTTTAAAGTTAATTACAATTTGAAAGGTTTAATCACTTAATACAATTAATAAAAAATGACATTTAAAAGTAAGATAAAATATTATTATATTTAAAATGAATGAGAGAAATATCATTTAATTACGGAATAAATATTAACTTTTATACAAATATAACAAATCATGAAACCTTAATGTGGATATATTTTATGAAACAATGAATTAAAATCGATTATTTTTAGTAGACTTTTCTTGGAACTTAGGAACTTCCTTCTCTATAATATGTGACAATATTTTACTAATCACTTGTCGTGAATTCCAACGTTGAATATTTGTTATCGTTGACCAATTAAAATTATCTAATTGTTCAGAATACAAATTACCATGTGCTGTCATATGATAAACAGATTGCAATGTTATTACCGGTTTTTCCTTGGGAAACATCAAGGGAAGATGAAAATATACCAAAAAGTAAAAATCTCTGTGCTCTAATAGTATTGTAATATCTTGAAATGCAATAGCATCGTACTCTATAATGGAGTCCCTTTGTAATAAAAGTAAAGTGGATACAAATTGTTTTCTACTTTCGTAATACTGATTGATCGTATTTATCTGAAATAAAAAATGTTTATTGAACAAATTATTGGAATAACGAAAGTACAAATTTTATCAATAGTTACCTTATCCATAATAAGTTCTTTTATTTTTGGTATATAAGCCGTTAAATAAGTATTAGGTAAAAACTGAGGTATATGCAACGAAAATGCCCCAGAAAATGTTTCTTCTAAATTTTTAGATAAATACAGATTTGGTACTATGCAATTCCAATCTGGCCCGCAAAATGTAACAACGAGCTTAGCAGCATCATTTTCAGATTGATTAGCTCGAGTAGGCAATTGAGAAAAATCTATATCTAAGCGTATAGAAAAACAAGCTTCAATTGGCTTTATACTCATTGGTAATAAAGTAACTTCAATATCATCTGGTGATATTGTCTCTAATAACATACAATATTCTAAGTTTAAACGGTCGTGCTTTTTCAATAACTGTATCTAAAAAGAACACAAAACAATATATATATATCAATATTTTTAGTGTAACGTTTAAAGTTTTATTAACACTATGCCGTCCGGTTAATATGACATGCTGATGTCACAAACAAATGTATCGAACAAGTGCCGGACCTCAAAGTGTTTGTTTATAATTGTAATCAACGAGACAATCATACTTGATGTTTCTTATAAAAGGATAAAAGTTCAATGATAACTTGTAGCAATGCATTACTATTTTTACAATCCCATTGAGCGAGACTAGGTATGGATATTGATAAAGTATCAATATCTGGATCAGTTAAAAAAGTCTCATCGCTGAATATAAAATCAGGACCCAATTCTGGATATTGGCTATCAAATAATACATTCCAAACAAGATTGTGGCTGGCATAAGGTATTGATAATTTAAAACTATCTCCTTCCGTTTTTCCACAACTAGAAAATATTGACTCCAATCCTATTACACCCCATCCTGCTCCTTAAACAAAATAATATGTTATACAATCACGAAATAAAATTATGCGGATATATATATATTTCAATAAAAATTACTTGTTAAAATAATAAATTCATAAATTATTTAATTATTTAACAATACAATTAATATCATCATTTATAATATAAACAATTATATTTAATAATATGAAGCGATCTTACCTAGCCTATCTTTATTTAAAACGCTTTTTAAAAATGGTGCAAAATAAGTGTCAATCGACCGTAAAGATAATTGTTGCTGATTAAACATTTTATCGGAGGACTTTAGAAACACCATGAATTATTATTTTATTTCTTTATTTCTTTACGCCTATATATAGGTATATATATACATATATAGGAAGTACAGGAAGATACATAAAGAACAATTATTTCATACTTCTCAATATTTAATAATCTATACGATTATAAGCACGCAATATCAATTCTCTAATGTATACAAATAATGTCATCTCATCCTAACAACAAATCTAATCGCGACAAAATTATTCGTTTAACGAGACAAATGCCATACAATAGCAAAGTCATAGATAACAAAGATTAAAGATATCAAACTGTTCTATGGGAAAATTTTTCAATGGTATTTTGTTATTTTCTTTTCTTTTCGTTAAGGAAAATATCGTTTTTAAAAATAATTTTTACAATGTTATTTTAATAATTCATTGTATCTCTCAGAATTGAAATAAGCTGTCAAAATTAGAATTTAAATTAAATTCTTTTGTTGTGACGAGAGAACCGCGAGTCGCCACAGGTAATGCAATAGTGCTACCCCCTATCGTTTGTAATAAAGAATTAGTAAAAACGTAGTCTTTAATTTTTATTGATCTTTTAGGTCTCGTAACGTGATCAAATGCAAAATTAATGAACACAATAAAAATAGTTATAAATAGATACATAAGTCATTCAAGAATATTTAATACAAATATGAATATTATTAACATTTTACGAAGGAATGACGCATGTGTGTTTTAAACGTGACTTATCAACTTTGCCGTTTAACTTATATATACGTGCATTAATGTTAAATGCAGTAATGTTAAATTAATATTTAATAACGAAATAATAATTAATAAGTAAGTATACTTTATGAATATAAAATTTTTATTTTTCTTAATAACCAAAAATTATGTGTCCTTATGTATTAAATAATTAATTAATTTGTTAATATTGATATGTCTTATTGATTTTAAAAGATAAAAGATGCACAGTATACAACAAAATTAGGATGATCATTTTGCTTTCATTTCACAAAGAATTAAATGTAATAAAAATCAAATTGTATTATACTAACCTAACAGAAAAGTATTAGCAATAAACGTATATAATATATATATATATATATATATATATATATATATATATACACGTCACAACATTTGACCTTTGTCTGATTATGGTGTTAATTTGATATTAGATAGAGAACGTATCAGTTCAGAATATATGTTAACGCAAATAAGGGAACATGTCAATGCCTATGAATTGGAATGAAGAAATGAATACGATGTCAGCAAAATTAACATCTGCTGCTACGTTCACTCCTGCCACTATAAATAATACTCCAGAACAATCAAAAATGCTAACGTCAAATACCAACAGTGGTACATCGATTCAAAATATAGACAGTCAAAGTAGTAGTACCGTGCAAGAAAATAATAGAGATTTACCTGAATTGAATATACCTGAGAAGATTTTATTTGTCGTTGATACCGCCAAAGAGGAGAACTGTACGCCATTTAAAGTTGGTATGGGTGAATCTTATTCTCCCTTGTATATGATCAAGCGTGTCGTAGAAACTTTCATCAATGCCAAATCTACGATACAAAGGAAGCACGAGTATGGTCTTATGATTTTAGAATCTTCTAGTGTACGCTGGATCAGCGATTTCACAAATAATGTCAAAACTATTTTGAATTATCTTGATACTATAGAAGAAAGCATTAATCAAGAGAAAACATTTAATATGGGATTAATATTTAAAGAGATATGGTTTAAAATACCTAAAGATAATTGCGTTAATTTTCTACCTGTTTTTACGACTCGTGTTATTCTGATATATTCGAGATCTAATTGTATACCGAAATTTTATGAGTGCAGTGGACCAAGTGGAAGTGAATGTTTAGTTACCATTACTTCCAATCCGTATTTCTTTTTGGACGTCTTATACGTACATGAACCACCAACTACAGAAAATTTATGTGAAGATGTTTATACTGAATTAATTTCTTTGGATATCTGTCATTTTTGTCATGTCTATGAAGTAGGAAGAAATGCTGCTAAATTGCACGATAATATGGCCAAACTATTGGCTCATCCACTACAACGACCACTTCAAGTAGATACGTGTTATAGTATTAATGAAACTATTCTTACAAACAATTAAATATTCCTTTAACTCTTTCTTTTATTCATTTCTTATTAATCTTCATATTTGAATGAATAACTATATTGAATTTTACATTATGTATACCGTGCCATATGGCATTATTTATTTATAGTAAAACTATTATAGTTTTAATATGGTTTTCTTGTTTTCATTACTATGCATTGCAAATTCGTACTTGGTGAATAAAATAAGACCCTCTACTGTTATTTCAAACTTTAAATTTTTTGTATAAATTATGTGATCTATGGATTCCATGTTTAAAGGATTATACGTGTTTTTTTTTAATGCCAATCAATTTTGGTAATTTCAAAATATGAAATTTTTATCATTTTTATTACATTCGCAGCATGAAGAAGTTTGGAGTTATCTCATTGAATCAGAATTTCTCATCGTGTTTTGGACATTTTTAACATGTTGCCTTAACTAGTCGTTGGAATAACTCTACATATTATGCAAAAGCTGTGCAATTATACTTTTAAACATTACTTTTTCAGGATCAGATTGTTTATCACGATATTGTTTTATAATTTGTTGAGAAATTGCATTTTTTAAATCGGAAAAACCATTTTTGTGTTGTTTTATTAATAACAAAACTTTCCTCATAAATTAAACCAATTTTGCTATCAATTTTAAATTATTTTAGAACTTAAAAGCTTTTTGAAAAAACTCCGTAGATGTTAATTTTATTTGATGCAAAATTTTATAATTTTTTAAACAATTATTTTCTTTATTAAACCTTTATAAAGGACAAAGAGATAAACAATCACATAAAATAAAAAAAGAACAACAAAAGCTATCGAATACATTGCTAAATAAGAAATTATTATGATATATTACGCATTAAGTATTAAACATTAAGTATTAAGTAAGTAAATGGTATGAAATTAAAGACAAAACCAATGAGACATCACAATCGATGATTTTTAAACATATTTTGATTAATTCTATAATTTAATTAGACTTAATTTTAAATATCACAATACTCTCTTAAAATTACGATGTCAAAGTGATGATGATAATGATATATAATCGATGATCGATAATGTTAATTATGTAAATGGATTTTTGTTAGGTAAAGAGAATTAATATACGTTCGAATACTGATACGTAATTAAATTATGGTTATTGAATATAAATCAGTACTTATTGTTAGTATAGAAACGACTTATCATTGTATGTTTTCATTATGATCAAGGCACGATCAAAAATAGGGGAATATATTGGCTATTCAAGTTCATTGCCGGTCATAATAAATATATCACAGTGACAACATACTTTTATACATATTTGGAATACTTTTAAAACTTGAAATCCTTTCAAGTAAAAACGTAGAAATGTAAGTACATACAATATGATGGCTGTCAAAATTTATGTCATATTTCTAATAATTTTGTTTGAAATATATAAACTACAAATATAGTATGTTAAGAATAACGGAAATAATGATGGAGAAAGTTAGCAAATGTGTCGATGTGGTAAGATTAGGCGAGGAAGAATCAATTCTTTTCTGTAGCGATGGAATTAATTTAATCATATATGATTGTAATTCGTTCGACCATCCAACTTCATTTTCTTTCGAATCAGTTGTTGAACTCTTTTGTGTCGATGTTGCATTGGTCCTTGGATTTTCATCAGAGGACTGCTTCCAATCACCACATCGTGGAAATCCATGTGGGACTTGTTGCATTGCCTCGTGATCACCCACTTTAAAGATCAAGGACATACCGATTTCAGCATGGAATTCGATGTGACAATGGAATAGCCAATATCCTGCAAATCATTTTGAAGGAATTTACTATTTCGATCGATGAGTCACAGAAATACGACGGTATAATAAAACTAAATTGGAATGAAATGATCAAGGAAACGATTATTTTATTTAGAAAATGTTCACGGATTGATCTGACGTAGTATGCTATCAATACGGCTCATGATAAGAATTGACGCTCGCAAACGACCTTCCCGGTTTCGTATAAAAATTCGGATAATGAAATAGAATATTTGAATTTTAATTTGACAACATTCTTTTTTAATGAAGATTTAATGCCTCTGTAAATCAAATATTTTATCTGTATGTTTTAAAGTAAATATGTGTTCCAAAATAATGCTGATAAGCGTTAAAAATCGAAAAGCCGTATACTATAGATTACCAATCGATCAAATTTTAACAATTTTTTCTTTGATTGGAATAATCAATGTTTTACCTGGATTGTCTGCATAAAATCGAATAATAGTGTAGCCCATATTAGGAACGGTCACTGTGTCTTTCAATGGCGCATGGTCGAGCTTCCTGTTTATCTTACCAGCTGCGTCCAATCTTTTTATTTCGTCTATTGTAACGTTTTTGCTTAGTCTTTCCATTCCTATAACGCGAAACTGATAGCCGTGAATATGAAATGGATGATTCGCTTCGTAAGTAATACCTGTGGAATAATAATCAATAACAGAATAATTGTTTTCTCTCTGAAAAAAAATAATTAGCAAGAAATCAAATGTACCTTCATCCACGAGTATCACTTCGACGACGCTGTTCAACTTCACTTGGAGAACATGAGTGCAACTACAATACTTCTTATCGCATCCTGTTACAGTACTCGAGTTACAAAATTGATTAGGCTCGATTAAGTCTCGTTGCGAAAGTAATGGGAAAGATGGTAACTTCATCGATATGTGATTTAATTGTGGCGTGAACAGTCGTTGTGACCAATCGTGTACTGTAAAACAAAATCAATTGTAATATTTGATCATAAAGAAAGAACAAATAAACCATACGTATATCGTATTATTTCGTGATTAGGTAGATTTCAAAAATACAAAAATTGTTTAAAAATAACAAATAATATACTTTGATCAAATCCATAAAGACCTTCCCGATGGAAATGTGGATTGTTCTTAGCGTAAAAATCATAAGCCACGTAAAATTGATAATCCGCTTTTTTGATACTCGTATCGTCATTTTCATCTAAAGAAGTAAGCAATGGTATGCTAAGACTATTATTCGATTCCGTACCCTCGTTTAACGCATTCACTTTCTGTTCGAACAAATATAACAAAATATTCATTGGATCAATACGAATTATTTTTAGTTACAGATATTTTCTATAATTTGATTTATTATAATAAAATATATAAAATTACCCATCCAGGTAGATTATTCGGAGGACGATCGTAGGAAATTTGTCCTTCCGGTTCTGAACCTTTAGCATTCTCATATCTAAGAATAGCGACTTGATGTGCACTAAGGAATCTCTCGTCACAGTCCATCAAACCACGGAATCGGATCCAATAATTATCAATTTCTTGGTCCATATTAACAATAAAATCAAATCTCTCGCCAGCGTAATTCACTAAAGATTCAGCTGAAAGATAGAATTTAGTATTAAAAACAATAATAATAATATGATTTTTGCATAATTTTACCTTCTACTGGCTTTATATCGCGTCCATCTGAGCTAATGACGAAGAGAGTATGATTGTCTATAGACACTTCGATGGGACAGTTAAGAAATTCAGCGTTTATCAGTCTGAATCGATACCTTAGATTCTGTAATAACAAAATCTTGGAAAATCCTCCTTTTGTGCAAGGCTAATCAAATAAAAATAATATTTTGGAAGAATGACTTATACCTGTTTAACAGTAAACGTCGTTAAAGGCATTTTCATGGAAATAGCGTCAATATCGCTATTATTAGATTTGTATCGTCCGAGACTATTAACGAGTAAGTTAATAGGTTTGTTGTTGCCATTCGAGTGATGATGTGCGAGGAACATGTCGGTACCCATATTGTGAGTCCAATCGTAAAGGGTTAACGTAAATTCGTCCACGTCATAAGAATCCTTGTGCCAATTCTTAGAGGGTGGTGCACGAACAATAAGAGGTCCGAAAAGACCATCACCTCTTTGGAAACCTACGAAATCATAAGGTTAAATGAAAACTGAAGTGTACAAAATTGAAATAACTGAAAATGATTCTAATGACTTTTGTTCCAGTTATGAAATCATCGTTGTTTCAAATTGAACTTACCTATATGAGAATGCCAAAAGTGGGTACCAATTTCAGTAGCAACGTAATTGTACCGAAAAGTTGATCCCGGAGGAATCGGACATTGAGAAATGTACGGTACTCCGTCCATGTAGGGTGATTTATGATGATGCAATCCATGCCAATGCATCGTAGTACTTTCGGAATGTAATAAATTAATCACGTCGACTATTACTCTATCACCCTGACAAACCTACAATTCAAATATTTCAATTTATAGTCTTACTCATCCGTGCAAATACCTATCTACCAATTGTCGAAAGACGCAGGAAGATAACGCGAGATTAAGATATAGCCATACTTTTAATTATTAATGTAAATATTAACGAGAGACCTTATATAATGTGTAATGTAAATTAAGCGTTCGTCGGTTTAGTTGTTTGCAACAGACCTGTTCTATATATTTCTGTGTGTTATTATCTTATTTTCAAAAGCAATTTATTAACCAATTAATTATAAATTGTATTTTTATCCAATTGTCAAATTTCATTTTATTTATATACGTAGGTGCATATGTATTGGGTTGTTAGGAAAGTTCCCGCCGATTAAAACATTAAATCGATATGAAAATGATCGTTCAAAAAATATCACGAATTTTCCGAATAACCCATTACGTGTATTTATCTATTAATAGTATAGAAAATGGCTACTTTAAGTACCTGAATCGATGGTCCAGGCAACTGCCGATTAACAACCAGAATCGAGCGTTTGATTCCATCGGCTGGTATGCAGTGAGGACGGAAACAATCGGTGGAATTTAATGGACAATTGTAACAGGCTTTGCTCATCGTACGATAAGATTCGATTTTAAAAGTGTAATGACAATTCAGACGTGGTGATCCATCTTTACAAAGTCGTTTACAGTAATGTTTGTTCCAATCGATCGTATCTGCGATTTCTGGGTCGATCGGTGTCAGTCCAATGTCATTGTGGACCGTTATTAAAGTTTTCTCTAATTATGAAAGATAGACATTTTAATTGTAGGAACGAATGACAAGGTAAAAGAGAGATTAGAAAAAGTCTTTCGATATAAATGCTGAAATTCCTAGAAATAAAATTTTGATAAAGAAACAATTTTCCTTAACTATTTATATATTAATTTCGTAAATTGGATCTTCCTTGGTTTATTTATTTTTAATTTGTGCACATTTTTATCATGTTTTCTTTAGATAATTTTAAACGAATTAACATATTGGCTGGAGGGGAAAGTAAAAAAAAATATACTGCCGGAAGCACTTAAGCAAAAGTTAAAAGGAAACAATATTTAAATTGTTTTAACTCGCGATCCGATTTATTGCGACGAAATATATACGCGCGCTTTTTTTCCGGCATGTGATTTTTTAATTAATTAGTATAAAATAACAAAAGGTATCCTAACGATTTGAAAGATTTTAATTATCGATTGTACGGATGATAATATATGGATGGAATACAACAAGCAAACACACCCTATTGGAAAAACTTGATTGAGAAAATATTTTCATTTCTTTTACATTACATTGTCGAGCGACTATCGTAAAATGAATCATTATCGTCTTTTATCATGTAAATTTATGTAAATTTTGTCTAATAAAAAACCGAAAGATATATAATTGTAAAATTAACATTAATTCACATTAATTATCATTAAAACGAAGATAAATTATTTGATTAAATAATTATTAATGTTTGAGTAACATTTTGTTTTTACATCGTTATAAAAAGAAAAGTAAATGGACGATATAAAGAATTCATAAGCGATAAATAAAAGTCGTGTAACGTTTTGTCGTTGCATAATACTCGAAAGGATACCAGTATAAAGATTTTATACGGTGCCAACGAGAAACTGTTACTTGCGCTCGTGAGAATTTCTCCCAACAAATTAATGCAGTGATAAAAATACAAAAAAAAGATCCCAAGTTTCGTCGTACGGCAATTATATAATCCTATCGTTACACGTATGCATGTACATATACGCATCACATATGAATTGATTACAAATACACTTTCAAGATTAAAAATAGAACGTAAAAAGTGAAATTCATGAAAATTACCACAATAATGTAATTTTTATGATAAATTACTTGAACCAAATTTGAAGATAATTATTCCTCGATAGCTTTTCATCTATCCTAAATAATATTTTGAATAGTAATAATTAGATTTGTTAAAAAAATAAAAATATGAAAGTACGGGATTTTGGATACACCCAAGTATCCATATTTTAGTATAAAACCACGGAAAAATAAAAACATAACGTTCGATAATCCGCACGTCATTCAATTTTCATGACGTTCGTGGACATCGTCATCGCTTGCAACTGTGTGCGCGTGTTCGTGTGATTATGGAATTATTTGAATCGTGCATACCTTTAAATGAATTTCATTAATCTTTCCGACACACAGTGTACGAACGAACGGGTTTTTCTTATATATTTTTTCCCTTTAAATATCGAATAATTAAAATCCCGGATATCAGGAAGCGTACGATTCGCGTAGGCTCGATTCAGAAGATGACTCACCTGAGTAACAGTAACGTGCAAGATGTATTTGTAACAGTAATAACAGTAACCTTCGAGCTATCATTATTGAACTGCAACAGATAAAAGATAAAAGTAATTTACTTATTTTTCTTTTTTGTTTTTCAATGAAAAAAAAGAGACGGGAAGAAAGAAAAGAAGAAACAAATGAAGAGACTTTGGGATAAGAGTAAAATAATGAATATTCGAGAGCGAGTTCTTTTTTCGATTCGGGGCGATAAGGAAATGACTTGAATTTTCCATTCGCTCGACGCGATTTACCTTCCGAATCTATTTAAGTAAAGTGGAATTATTTACGTTCGTGGTTATCTCACTGTCGATAGCGAATATGCTCGTTTGTCTACTAAACGGATCTTCTATAATTAAGTTCAAATAAAATGGGTTTAGAAAGGTTAAGAACGTAATAAAAATAATTTACAAAAAAACAAGAGAGAAGAAGAAAAAACCAATTGACAAGTGAATTGATAAGAGTTACATTAGTAGGACTATCATTAATTTCTTGCTTAATTAAAATCAAATAATATCGTTTTAATTGAAGAAAATTCTTCTTCTTAATTGAACAAAAAAATCCTATTTGTTATAAAAACGAAGATTCAATTGGGAATGTTTATTTTCTTTAGTTGAAAGTAAGAAGCAAACTAGGTTGCTAGAAGCGGTACAAATAGAAAACTACGATTACAGAATGTCGAAATTCCTAATATGCATTCTTGCAACATCAAACGAGAGGAGTAGAGAGTCACAACAGAGAGTTTTACTTACGCGCTAAATGTTTCTACGAACAAATTAATGGAGATCGTAACGTGTTAAACCATAAAACGTGTTCTCCATTAAAAATAACAAAGATATTAGACTATTTTTAAACAAATTTCTATATTTCTTTAAAATGTCTATATCGCGTTATGTTAAATGAACGATTAAGATATCTACAAAAATTAATAATTGTACGTAATTAAAAAAAGAGTCACGTTATATTAAATAAAAGAAAAATAATATTTCAATAAAAAATGATTTTCCAACTCGACAATTGCAACAATTAAAAAAAATTCATATGAAAGTGATAATATTCATATATTTTGATGACAAGGCCCATTTTTGTTCACAACTACTAGAAGAAATAAATGATTTCTATAATCTTTCGCGATATATTATCTTACATACATCGCAATCCTAAAATCATACAAAATTATCTCTTAAAATCAGATTAAATAAGTTAATTAGATATAAATGATGATCATTATGATGATAAAAAAACGTCTATAACGAAAGAAAATGATAAATTTCAAATAAAAAGAAATGTTACCTGAATTATTTGTGAATTTCTTGTCAGAAATGAACAGGAAATCCTTATATAGAACACAACTGATCGCGAACTTATCGTAAGAATAATTAAATACACGAGCTCACCACGAGTATTTATAATCTATCTTTATATTTATATCTATCTCTAGATCTTGTCGAAGTATCCTACACTTACTTTTATTTCTTCTTATTATTTTTCTTCGTTTATCTGATAGGGTGAATAAAAATGTGTCTGCCACTTGAACAAGTCAAAACTTTAGAGAACACTGGACCGAAGCGAGTGCGTTCGGTTCTCTATAGAAGTCGTCTTCCTTTGGAGGTCGTGTATACCCCACACGTGCTACCAGCAACAGGCTGGCCCCTTACTTCACGTGATGGTAAAACAGCAGGTATGGGATGATATCTGAATAACAGGTATATAGATAGACCACATACTGTTTCAATTTTCCCTGTTCTTTTTCTTTATTAACCGCATAGCGTCAACGGATTTTCCACGTAAAATAGCAACGGTAGCTTCGATCATTCAATTATTTGATCATCCGATGATCAAAATGGGGACTTAACGGCAGACGTATAATCATAAAAAAAAAAAAGAGGAGAGAGAGAGAAACTTAATACTCACAATCAGTCAACACTAATTCTTGGGATTATAAATGAATGAAAACGAATGGAAGAGATTAAATGACGTCAAGAAATATTTATTGATTATCATCCACCAATCTTATCTGATATATCTAAAGGAAATCTTGTATTTTTTCATTTCTCTCTTAATGAGTTTCCTTCGGTTATCTAACATAATCGCGAAGTTTAGATAGACTATAAACAAATAGATATTAACGTATTATTCTTATAAAGTATAATAGAGTATCTCGCGTAGAAATTTGTAATGAAATTTCTTATTTATGTGATAATAGTTAGATTTTTCCATTGGAAAAACATAAGATTCGACCATTTGTTGTTATTCCTCTTTCTTCAACTTTTTCCTCTTGTTAATCAGCGGAATCATTGAATTGATAAGAAAAAATAACACGCACTTTAACAGAATCCCCTTTAAATCGCTGATATGCTTTTTCTAGGAAACTTGACACGTGACAAACCACGTTTTATCGATTATGGTCCAGACTTTTAAGCGAATCGTTTCGTATAAACAACTAACGTTAGAGTTTACCTAGAATTAGAAGGTAAGCAGTTATGACCAATTTTTTAACGACGCGTAAGATATTTCAAATTATTATTTATACCTTGTTCTTCAAATATTGTGCTTTTCATTGTGTATTTTTGAATGAGAAGTTTCCAACTCTACGATAATCTACTCTACTCTACGATATTTCAGCTTTCAATCGCGTGCACAGATATTTGCCAGATTCGAATAACATGTTCGAAAAACGAAATAAGTTTGTGTCCTAAAATACAAATCTTACCTATTTTAAAATGACTCACTTATTTATAGAACTTTCTTTCGTTCCCACTCTCCGCAAACATTATGTAGTCTACTCGAAATAATACATGATATATTACTTTAGTTATCCGTCTGCATGCGCGCGTATGAACGAGCGTCAGCGTTGAATGGATAAGCAACAGGTTTCGGGGGAATTCCCTCCGAGAAAAGATTCCAAATTACAAAAATCTCCTTCTTCCTTTCTTTTTTTCTACATTTCTTTCCTCTCGTGTTTCTATCTCCCAGTAGGATATTTTAAATCTGCAAATATTACAATGTGATTTATCAATTAAACACAAATTCTTAACGAGCGAAGAAAAAACATCATTTGCTTCGACTAACAAGTGAGAGACGACACGATTCGCGGATATTCCATAATTCCCATGACAAAGATGTCATGGACGATGTATCATAAATACGTACCTATAGGTAATTCTATACTTTCGTTTGTAAAAGACGAAAAGTATATAACAAGCAAGCTGGTAATAAGTAATTGATAATTAAAGGTTTTAACCTGTCTAGGATTATTTTTGAAAATGAGATTGAACGTAACTACTACGTAAATATGTTCGTTAAAATATATTAACTCTTACTCATTTAAATATGATCAAAATATATATATATATATATATATATATATATGTTTTATTTGAAGAAATAATGAAACAGACTAAAAGTCGTTATCTTACTACGTTACTTATTGTTACGTTTGACGAAATCAAAATGATCATCGGTCCTTCTAATGATGTTTACAAAATCCTTGCTAATTTAATAAAACCTGTTATTAAGAATGATTTTGATTTCCTTGATCCCAGCTATCTTTAAACTATCTTTAAAACGAGAATTTAGATTTCTTGGTTTCTCCGAGAACAGGCAGCTAGGTCGGTAAGAAGGTTGGTATATAATGATGGCGCAATTATATCATTTCGAAAAGGCACGCACAAAGGTCGTATAATGAACGTGTAAAGAATGACGAGAGGGATTCGTCGATGCGAAAGCGTCGTAAATTATCACCGAGTATGATCTAGCAGGGTCTTCTCTTCTCCAACTATGCCTAATGATCGTCATTAATCTAATTAAACAAACTTAACAATAAGATAAACAATCGAAACTATTCAATTATCTTTTGTCAATCGGGTCAAAACCATTTTACAATTGATATACCTGATCTTTTTTTCTATTTTTCATATGTGCTTGTTCTCTCTATTTTCTTAACCGTTTTAAATATTTTTATCTCATTTCAAGCCTACGATGTTTTTTTTTTTTTTTTTTTAATGATATTTATTCCGCGCGCGCGATCATGTAAATAAATAAATCGTTTATTTCGTGTCGTTTACTTCAACGATTTGTCTCAAACGTGATCGTTACACAAAACGCGCGGAATTTTAAGCGACAAAAAGAGAAATAAAAAGAAAAAAATAAGCAAAAAATGTAAATAAAACCGTACAGTCAACGGAACCGTTATTTCTTTTATATTCGTCAAGACTTATATTAAATGTTACGATAAATTTTACACATTAAGAGACACAGTAAATGAAACACGCCCAAAAAGTAGAAGGCATTTCTTAACTGTTAACGTCAATTATTTGAACAATAAGAGAACAATAATTCCATAATTTGATCATCGGATCGATATTCTTTTTTTTTTATCATTAAGCTACCATAAATGAATTAGAATATTCATAAAAAATGATATACCGGCGAAAGATAATTTCATTGATGGCTATCTATACTTTCAAGTATTTATGATTAAATATTGTTAATAATAATAATGAATTTTATCAATAGTGATAATCTTAATTATATACTTATATATATTATATAATATACTTCTTCTTTCTCTTCTTCTTCGTTTTTTTTTTCTTTTTTTTTTGTTAACACCGTATGTTTTGTATCATTATAATTGTAGAATTATAAAAGATTCTTCAATTCTATGCTTTTGTTTTTATACATAAAACTACACGTGGAGTGATGATTAAATTACTGCACAAGAAAAATAAATTTAACGAATATCCTGTATAATTCAAATGTAAGTATTGGATCAGGGAAAAGCAAAAGTGAACAATTTATTTACCGTTAAATACGAAAAAACTTTTTCCCCAACCCAATATATTTAAAAGTTTACAAAATAGAAAATGCGCATCGACTATAATAATCTTATATAAGTTTATATCGATGAGTAAACGATAGTAGATTGATAAAAAAACTACTTCAAATAACTCCGCTATTCTTTGTTTTATAAAAAAAAAAAAAAAAAAATACTTGAGCAAAGTTCGTGATATTTCAAAGGAATAAAAGGAATTTTTCAAAATAAAATATATTTTTAACTACGCGTATAATTAATTTGACTTTCTCTTCGATTGCAAAAACATTCGAATCTAATATTTAAATTTTATCCTTTTACTTTTCCATTATAAAAAGTGACGTAAAATTTATTTTGATTGTATCATGAAAAAATTTATTAATATTTATAACGACCAAACGTAATTAATACGTCTCGTATGCTAATAAAAAAAAAATAATTAACATAGTAACATTTACAAAGTCGGAAACATCTAGTAGATCATAAATTATTTGCAATACAATTTTTTAAAAAATGATACACCAGCGCCACGGATGTTATTGTTCGAGAAACATAACCTTAAAAATTCATCGGTAATAATTTACATGGAACGAATTTGTTGTATTAATAAATCTAATAAATATAATTTCTCAGTAATTCCAATTTATATTATATTATATATGTAAAAATGTCTGAGACTATAAATGGAATATGTCATTTAATGTGCCCTCAAAAAGAAAGATGGATGTAAATTATTTTGGAATATATCAGGTTTAGTATTAATTAACGTCGTTTTTGTACCCTGCTGAAAACTAAAAAAAATTGGAGCTCTCTATTAATCTTGAAATTAGAAAATATTTTTTATAATTAGCAGAAATGAAGAATGAAAAATGTTGCTGTTATATAATTGATAAATTCATTAAATCTTATTAATAGTTATCTTTTAACTAAAATTTAGTTATAGACCACCATAGTTTCGAAAGTTGATAATGCTGAGGTTTCATATAGATATTTTTAAATATCTTAGTATTCCGTAAGTTTTAATTTAAGTTAATAATTTAAGTTATTCCATAATAAACTATACAACAAAACTTATAAAAAAATGACATTAATTATTACTAGACCTTCTTATTAACTATTTTTTAATATATTTCGATGAATTATTAATATTATTTAATACAATTTTAAACTCACTTATATTTCAAATTAATTAGGAGGGAAAGGGAAGGCTTGCTGCATCAATTTGAGATAGATGAAAAAACAAAACATTCAAAGAATCCAAAAGCGGATCCAAGAAAGATAATCAAAAGTTATTCTCGTTCAGCTGCAGGCCAAATAATGACGGATCCAAGTTCCTTACGACCAGGACCTGTATTGTTATCGACAATTAAATATTTGTTTACAAAGTATTGTTACTATATTTATCATAATTACAGTTATAGGTATTTAGTGTGTAATAAATATTGATATATTTTTTATACAATTTAGAATAGTAACACGCACAGATGTAGATTGGATACACGTATATGATTTCGCATTTGACCGATTACGAGCCATTAGGCAGGATTTAGTAATTCAAAGAATTGATACGACTATGAGTATTCAAATTTTAGAACCCATAATACGGTTTCATACTTATGCTAGTCAAAGGTAAAACGATAATAAAATACAAAAAAAAACAATCTGATTTAGTTTGTCTTAATCTTATGGCATTTCACAGGCTAAGTGAACGAAATATAAACGAGTATAATCCTAAAATAAATGATCAGCATTTGCTGGAATGTATGACTCAATTGTTGGTTTTGTATGATACGTTGAACAGGGAAAGGGAGTTAGAAATTAACGAAGAAATAAAAGCAATTACATTGATCGATAACAGAGTTGAAATGGAAGCATTGTATATTCTTCTAAACATTGGAGATGTATCTGGATTGAACAGAGCATTAATTCTTCCTGAAAAATTAAGGCATGTCACGATAAGTAAGATAAAAATACATTCATCTTATGTTTTGTAACATCTAATGTTTCCTATGCTTAATTTTATCATTTTTAAATAATATTTCATAATAATAACAAATACAATTAGATAAATAATCAAAAATATGTTTTGTAGAAAATCCGAAGAAGTTAAATTAGCTACGAAGATTTCTATAGCTTGGTACTTAAAAAATTATGTACGAGTATTTCGATTAATAGAAAAACTCCGTCCAATATTTGTATGTGCTGTGATGTGCAATTTAAAGAGTTTGAGAAGGTATTTATCTTTTTTTTCTTATTATACAAGCACTCATTAAATCTGTTTCTTGTATATTATTGTAGAAATGTGTTACAAATTATGAGTTCAGGATATAATAGTAAAAATCTTACATTTCCTGGATTGAAATTACAAGAGCTCTTATTGTACAAAGATGTAGAAAAACTTAAAAAGGACTGTGAATTATTTAATTTAAAATTTACTAATGAAAATGTTTTGTTTCAAAAAACATCGTTTAATAATCAAATATTGTTGGTGAGTGTTCGATGTTTTTAAAACTGCGATTACTATTAATAAACATATTCGCTACCAGTATCCACGATTTCTGTTGAAATCACACATTTGCGACTGTAATCAATATAAAAAATAAGTTCTAGACTGTGGTTGGAATCTTTTCTTCGCTGCGCAGTAACGAACGTGTTAAAGAATATTGCATGATTTTATACTCTCTTACATTTAATATATTCTCGTTAATGTTTGCTATACTCGTCTTCTATATTTCAGGCAAATAGCGAAATGTATTACACATCTCAAAAGTTACACAAGTTCTTGCCAAATATACTTCTGGGATCTTCGTGACGACATAGTTATTCAAAAAATGGTATAATGTGTTCTCAATTCTTCATTACAAAATTGTTTATTTACAATAACATAAATAATATCGTAAATAAAAATAATCATAAATAAATTTCATATCACGTACACTATATTGATTATAATGTAATATTTACATCAGTCTATTGGGAATCGCTAGATGAGCTACTCGACGAATCTGTCGACATAACTTCGACATCTTCCGTTTCTTGTTTGTGAGTATTCATAGCTACACTCCCTTGTCCACCCACAGACATGTGAATCTCTCCTGACGGATGCCACGCAAACTGATTTGCTTGCGAAACCGGAGGTTCTGATAATTGAAAATATATTAAATTTATTTATCTAAAATATTTTGTTGTTCTGAAAGACTGTACAAAGTATATACCACCAGCAGGATGACCGGTTCTATGCAAATCTGATGGTATTCCTGGATGAGAGCCTAATACTGGCACGTTTAAAGGAAGGTCACTTAGCCTACCTAAACATCCTAATCTCATTTCGATATCTGAAAAATATTCATTTCTTATTTACTTATTCTAAAGATAAAGATAATGTATGAAAATACCGGTAGGATAAGGTCTTCGAGGATCTCCTTGTTGCCATGTTAATGGAGCACAAATAGCATTGGATGCACTTATTCTATGAGCAAATTTAATAAGTTCTTCTGAAGGTACAGGACGTTTATTAGCACGTGCAATAGATTGTAATTTTTGTTTAGCCTGATATATAGCAGTGGCTAATATTTGTTCAGCTTCCTTTAACTGACGTTGCAACTGTTGAATATCCTGATCTTGTCTTTCTACTTCTGCCTTTAAGGCTTCCATTTTTAAATTGATTTTTGCTTGCTCGGCAGCTTGCTTTAAAGTACCTTTCAATTCTTTATCTTTGGCAATTAATAATTCTGTCAACTGCATATGCTCCACGCTGGATAATTTCATTGGTTTTGGAGCTATTATGTTTTCTATCATTTCTCTAAATGTTAAAGGAAAAACAAACTAAAGTATTTAGATATAATAAATACATGGGAAAAATTGGATGGAATACTAGTATGTATGTCTAATATTTAGAACTTAACCTCTTTTTTTTGTGTATAAGCTCTTTGTCTCGTATAACACGGCATTTTTTAGAAATTCAATAACCGAGTTATACGAGATTAAGCTACATATGTTATTATTGTATATTTATTTATTTATCAGAATAAACAACGTATCTTACTTTGCTATTAATTCAATATCATCAATTATAGATAGTAGTACTTCTCTTGTACTTTTACTTGAAGCCATCATAAATACCTTTTACACTAACTCAAAACTTATCGAATTAAATATTTCAATTATAAATTCAATTTATTATCAATAATATATTGTTAAAATACTTATTTCGCGTATGCGTTATATTCACAACCAAACACCGTTTTGTTTTTACTTGAACACTTTCGAAAAACGAGAGAGTCGCCATCTTTAAATTTACCGGCCTCTTCAGAATCATAAATCATTAATATACGAACTCGTAATAAGGTATTCTTGACTACGAATATTTTACTAAACTAGTCAGATTTTGTTTGTATATGTAATTGTACTTATAATTAATATCCAAATCAAATGAATCAACTATAATTTAATGTTTTCGAAATAGAAATTTCAAATTTATAAATTTATACGAAATTATTTAAAAAACATTGAAATTTATATGTTTCTCAAATTTTCCTCTTGATGACGACGAAACAGTGTCAATAGTAATTAACCTATCAGATACAAATACGCGTTGCAAAAGGAAATTTTTTATATTTTTAATTTCGCATCTTTGAATTTTATGAGCCTTGACAGATCCACGAACAGCCATGAACGCGAACAGAGTTTATAATAGATATTTATTTAAGCGATAATGGATCGATTATATATTAAATCAAATTAACACTTTATCTTATACGCGCGCGCACGCGTACAATAAAATTAATCATATAAATATAATGAATAATTGTTCTCTAATATATTTGACGACGAAATAAATAATATTTCTTTATCTCGTGCAATATAATTTGACTTTGAAAGAGAATTTATTTGTATAATTAGTTTTTTTTATTTAAACTAATTAAAAATTTGCTCTTGAATAAATGCTTTTTACGACTAGCAATGAAAAGAGCAACTTTATTATTATAAAATGGTGGCAAACATTTTCAACACTTGCGATATTGAAATTCTTTTCTGGATTAAGTATTTCACTGTTTACATAAGTAGATATATGATAAAACATACTATGGATAGTTATTGTAACAAGTTTTCTAATGGAAATAATGAACAGCGATGTTACCCAGTTCTTCTTCTTTTTTTTTTTTTTTTTTTTTTTCTTTCACTGCATCGAAACATTTTTAATGACAAAAATTAATATTTGAAATAGTTATAAAATGAAATTTTTGAATAAAGTTATAAAATGAAACTTTTGTCAGATGAAGCATTCAGTGCAATGTGTGGTTATGAACCAGCAAATATATAGATGGAAACAGAATAAAAAGCATAGTGTTCTTAATGTCGAAGGAACTGAATTTTATAATTTTGATGCCGAGTGTGTAGGCACCAACCACGCACATATAAATGTCCTCGTATTTGTTTAATGAATGGCTATAAGACCGGATTCCAGAAGCTTTTGTAATTTGGCAGCTATGTCCGGATTTTTTAAGTGACTGAAAAAAAAAGAATATTAACATAGATATAACTTATTTTTTCCTTGCTGATAAAATTGATTTTTTGATACACTTACTCTTGTAAGGCTCGGGGATCGCTCTGCATTTGTTCTAAAATTAATCTCATGGCTGGGTCTCGTAGGATACCTTGAACTTCAGGATCGGCCATTGCTCTTTTTCTAACTTCTTCAGGATTAGAACTAACAGACACAGCACAGGAACGATAGCCTTCCAATGCCTCGCTATTTGATGGATCCAATTCCAATGCTTTTTGATATGCCGTTAATGCTTTTCCTTGCTGTTGCATTCCTTGTAATATTTTTCCTTTTCTAATCCAGCCTTTAATAAACTTGGGATCTATTTCAACACACTTTTCACAGTCTTTCAATCCAAGATCAAAAGCTGCTAATTTAGTGTAACAAGCTGCTCTATTACTATAATATTTGGGATCATCTGGGTTTCTTTTAATAGCTTCTGAATAATGTTTTATTGCTGCTGGATAATCACCATCTTTGTACTTTTGGTTGCCCAATTCTTTCTCTTCTTCGGCTTTAGCAGGATCAATATAAGCTTTCCTTTCTTCTTCTTTTATAATTTTATCTATGTCTGACAGTAATGTTTTAATTTCTGGCGTTCTATGTTCAGACATAGACTTTTCATAATATACTTTGGCTTGCTTCCAGTTAGACATTTTTTTATATGCATGACCAATTCTGGTAAATGCTTTAGCTATTAGTTTAAAATCTGCTCGATTTTCTCTCCCCAAATCAATGGCCTTTTCGCATTGGCAAATACATTTGTCATATTCTTTTTGTTCAAAATAAACAGCAGCTATATTAAGCAAATAAACTATTTCTGTGGGATCAAGTTCGACCGCTTTGTTATAATGTTGAAGAGCTTCCTCAAAGTTCTTCTTCTTGTAGGCCTCATTTCCTAGTTTCTTTTCATTTAAGGCTTCCTTTTTTTCTGCTGGTAAATCATCCTCTTCTTTTTTTTCTACTTTAGGCTCTGGTTTCGGTTTGGGAGGTTCTGGTGGTAATTCTTGATCTATATCCATCGATTCATCTACTCCTAAAAGTACTCCAAGAGTTGTTAATATTCGTGGATCTTGAAGATTTAAACTCAAACTTTGAGGATTATTGCGTAGCTCTTGCAATAATTTTAAATATTCTGGATCATTGACATAAGCTTTTGTTCTAGAATCGTTAGCCAATTTTTTAAGAAGATCCGGATGATTAAACGGATTGAATCTAGTTGCATTTTTTTGGGCTTTGACATCTGCTAAACTGGCTTTCATTTGTGCATTATCCGGATCTAACATCAAACCTTTTTCATAAGCCGCAATAGATTCATCTAGCTTTCCAAGATATGCAAGAGCACTGCCCTTGCGAGAATATCCTTTCCCCCAATCAGGTTTCAAATTAACTGTTTTTTCAGCATCCTCCAAAGCTTTTTCATACAATTTAGCTTTTGCATATGCTGCTGAACGATTACTGTATAAAACATGGTTACTATTATCCAAAGTTATAGCTTCTGTATAATGTTGAACAGCTTCGTCAAATCTACCTTCTTGCAAGGCAGCATTACCTTTCTCTTTTAATATAGACACCTAAACAAAATAAAACATCATTTAAATAAAAACGCTCGCAATAAGTCATGACGTTAATCAAATATAGAGATTGTATATTTTCATTTATCAATCGCAAAATTAACATTTATATCAAATCTATTGAAATTAACCACAAGAAAATCCTAAATGCTTTGATTACAAGTTTTAATAATCACACACCTAACGTCATTGTGTCGATTTATGAAAGATGACCAACGAATGTTCTAATTTACAAATATTGACGCAACTCTAAGCGAATCTATTGCAGGGAAACTAATAAATTGATTAAAAAGATTTACCTTATCCATAATGATCGTTGGATATGAATGAAAATAATCGTTTGATAATATATTTGAATTTTAACTCATTCACTCAAACTCTCTTTCACATGAACAAAAATCAGTCGATGACTCGTTTTAATGCGTACCGGTGCAGGTTTCAGAAAGCTCTAGAAATGGACAACTAGCGCCGCAGAGTGTTCATCAAGAAAACACTCTACGCATAACATAAAGTATACCTTCCTTTCTTTATATTCGACAGTATTTTCTAGCACATTCTCAAGCATCGCTTATTTCAATGTTTCTCAACAAAAAATGTGAGTGGTTCGCAAGAAATATAATTCAATTTTGAGCCTTAAAGAATGTTTACTGTTGCCATTTTCGATTCTATACTTATGCATGTTAATCGATATTTTTGCCAATAATATTCATCAAATAAAAGAAAATAAATGTTTTATTTAATAAATTCAACTTTGCGCTTAAGAATCAGAAATACAATCTCTAATATAAGACTTGATAAATTAGTAAATACTGATGAAAAGAATCGGCAATACTCAGCATTAGTTTATAGTTTTATAATTATAATTATATAATGAATATATATCAGTTATTCAATTATTCTTTATTTTCTTTCACATTTTTTTTTTTATTATTAGTTTAATATTTTGTCAGTTTATTTACTTTTATACAATTTCGTCGATTATTCTGTTTTTTTTTAATCATTCTTTGAAAAAATATATATATTAAATTTGTTAAACGTTACAATAATTATATTTTACTACAAAAACATTCGCCTTTTTTTTATTATATTTTTCTATCGCTACTTCATTTGGTCCTTAAAAAAAATAATTAAAAAATTGATTGGTCCGCGGCACCTCTAGTCGGTAGAGAAACACTGGTTTATTCTTAAAAAACAGCATATTGTCATTCTCGCCATGTTTGATCTGAACAAATTTATTGTACGAAGCATTTATTTGTTCATTTTAATAAACAATTACCTTTCCTTATTATGAAATTCTTTTAGCATTCATATTTTTTGTATCGCTTGCATCGATCCGATGAATTTAGTTCGATAATTTGATACAATATTGTTCTTATCGTCGATACAAATATATTTATTTATTCTAATTGTGAGATTGATAAATGTTTATTCCGACTTTATATTTGTCCCTCATACAGATTACGCCATAAGTATATGTATGTGTATCGTGCTCTATTTTCAACTTATGATGCATACACGTACATATTCTTTACGTAATGATAATTATTTTCTAATCTATATCATACCGATTTTCTTGTCTTCTTCTTCTATTTTTAATATGCGTCGCAATACTCGTTGATATATATTAGTATAAAAAGATCGTGATTTTATGTTTTGTCTTACTGCGATAGAAAATGTGAAATAAATATTTAACAATTTTAACGTCAAAAATAATTTTTAATTCAATTTAAATATTTTTTAACGACCTTTTAAGATCCATATCTTCGTACATACAAGTACTTGAAAATGTTCACTTCAAATATTATGTAAAAACATGAATTTTTATCGGCTATCCATTTGTGGATATAAGATATTAAAACAATCATAAATTACTTAAACAAGGCCGCACGATTTGTTCATGCTATCGTTCTCTTTGTTAGTTGGTATTTCCGACAATAAACTGAAGCAACTGGGGTTTTTCCAGACAACTCTCGACCTGTTGCGTAGTTTTATTCGTTCCTTAGAGTCTGTTGACCCTGATCGAAGATTGGCTACATATATATATATATATAAAATTTATTAACATTTAAATGAGAGCGCTTGATATACAAATTTCAATCTCGAGAATAACTTTGAAGGAATGCCGGCTCGTATAAAAAACAAAATAAAGCAAAGAAAAAAAGTTGGAAAATTGAAGATAATTAGAACATTATATAAACTATTTAATGCGTTAGAATTTCCGTTCGAAAATTAATCGTATTTATAAATTGTAATCGTAATAACATTCACGCTTATTTTTTCGCGATAAAGTAGGAAGCGACGTTACCAATCTGATAATATTATATCAGAACTGCACGTGTCTCGTTGTGTATATGAAGTTGGAACGGTTTTAAATTTGCGAAAATAACACTAATCGCGATAAATGAGAAATAATTTCAAGTCTACTCGAGAGATGAATATATTAAGATGTTTGAATATGACCGAGTCATAACGTAGAAATAGCTATGCAAGTACTCAAGCATAAGTATATATGTACTTCTCTTTTGCGTGCTATCGACGAATCATCGTCACCATTTTCTGTGAACGGAAGGAAAGACTATAATTAAAGTTCGTACTTTCTACATTCAAGAGAAATAGCAGATGATTCGTGCAAACTTCCTCCTGCTTCTCTAATCCAAATATAATTCTAAAGGTTCAAGCGGCAGAATCTGTAGACCAAACTCCCCCAAAAAGGAATAAGTTGAACAAATTCTTGGAATATCTAGACCATTACGCGTCGAGCTTTTACTCAAAATAGATTTCCAAGATTTAGAGTCTATCTCACATTTTGTTTTTTATAAATTGTCTTGTAAAATTGATACCAACTATCACTGCTTGAAAAAAGTAACAAACAGTAAATGACAAAAACAAAAAAACCTGAATATATAAGACGCCCCCTTTACACATCGTAGGGCCTTTTATTACTAAAAAATAATTATGAACGTTTAACAATAAGTCTGTTTTATATTATCATATATCTGCAACGTTCATCAATTTCTTTCTTTCTTTCTCTCTCTCTCTCTTTTGTATATCTTTCGCATCGTTCTTTCATACACTTATTATTAATAATAATTCATTAAATAATTAATTAATCTATTAAACGTTTTTAAAAGGGAAGTGAAAGTAGAGTTATATATTTACAGAAGACCGATAGTGTATTAAATGGTGTAGTAATGTAAATATGAAAATATAATTCATCTCCTAAGGCATTATTAGAGCCACGTTAGGAGTCGAAGAAATTTGATAAATATCACACCTAAATGTTATTAATCTTTTACGGGCTCTACTAAAACACATTAAACATATTTATGTACACTAATCTATCTAATGATGATAGATATAATTGATTAATCTTATTTCATTTGAATGTACATCGAGTCCAATCCTATATGTTCGGGTACACAAAGAAATTCACGCAAAAAACATAACGAAAATAAAGATTTCGAGAAACAATCGAAATTATCTTACGATTTTGTTTACTTTGACGATAGTATGTTTGTATATATATGTACATTACGTAAGATTTACAAAGAATGTTCTCAATAATTCGAGGATTCATAAGCGTAAATATATTCTGTGATGTGTCTGATCTCACACATTAACCAATATTATAACGTTATTAATGGTTTTTGCCATAATTGTTGTAATTATTCTATGTCACAAAAGGACTTATCGTTTGATATACGAAAAAAATCAAATAAAAAAAAAAAAAAAAAAAAAAAAAAGAAATGGAAGTGCATCGACATTTTAAAAATTCAAAGAAACTAAAAAAATAAAAGCACGTGGAACCTACAGGCGAATTGAAATGAAACTTCTTAAGTTTCCCCTGCCATTTTCCGTAAGTCTTGACAGATCGATATTTCTCTGTTTCTCCCCTATCATTCAAATAACGCCCTTCCCTTAAAGCTTTAACTTTTCGTGTCGCTTGACAAGTTTCGGTACCCTCCCAAAAGAAGTTCCACTTAAAAAATCGAACAACCCTAAATAACGATAATTTACTATTTATTCCGTGTTATCCTTTACACTTGGTACTGAATATAACTTTTTAAACAAATAAATGATGAAACAATTCGGCACAGAATTATTCAAACCAAAAATGAAATTATTTTTTAACAAAAACTCTTACTCTTGTAAAATACGTGTTACAATAAAACAATAAATATATATAAATTAATTACTTTAGATAGATATTATGAATTTTTTTAAATAAAAGAGGTATTAATCTTGTAAATGAACAACACGTATTTTTTTTAAGACAAATGAAAGGACACTTTCGTTCTAATAATCGGGTTTAACTTTAAATAACAATTTAAAGTTGTTTTTTATTAAACGATGAGGTCTCCTGCCCTATTTAAAATGTGAATACAAAAATTCAATAGCTATTTGGGCAAAATAATTTGTTATCGTGTGTAAAGTAGTCTATTTTTTCTCATAGATTTGTTTTTCAAACGTAAAAGATTTTCTTTCTTCGTTCGTTTGCTTGCTTGATTGCTTCATTCGTTGTCGAATATTTTATTCGTTTTCTTTTCGTTATAATATATCGTTCATTTCTCTTCTTGAATAAATCTTTTCGTATTTATCGTTATACATGTAACGTCTTTGACGTTGTTGATCCTCTTTTAAAGATTCGATGAAGTTATCTTAATTGTTCCATTAATGATAACAAAACGCGAGGAATATATTGATTACTACTACGTAAAATCAATTAGTACGTATCCCTCCATAAAAGAAAAACAAACAAAAGATCTCGAATTTGTTCACGTATAAAAACGCAGCAGATCGTTTATTTAAATTTATTTGTACTATAAAAAAAAAGTAAAAAATTCATCACATTTAATGAACTATCGATTCATATCTCGTCGAATGTTCAATTATTTTTTTTTGCTATGGAACCCCAATATAATAAAAACATATAGTTACGTATACTTTTTCGTTAGGAATTATAATATTCCATGGGACACGGATCAAATACGTCCCCTCACCGTGTGAACTTTTCGTGCAGACTATTTGAAATTTTGACTATTCATTTGTGGGTTCATCTTAACTCATGAGGCTCGAACGTTAAAAGTCATTGAAAATCTAATTCGGCAACGGAACGCGTTAAAACATGTAGATCTATAAATTTTCATTGAACGTAATTTCCCATTCTAATTAGACATTTTCTATTCGCTTCTTCCGCTTTCTCCGTGTTAACGTTATTTCTTATTTTTTTATTTTTTATACTCCTACGCCTACAATATTTTGTTGTCGGTGCCTTGTAATCAACGGTAGATAATCGTCGGGTTTGTCATCTTCGTCATCGCTTTCCTCGGAATCGGATTCAGGAAGAGGTTGTGGCGTTGCTCCAAGTCTGACTAGTTCCCTCGCAAGTTGTCCATCCAAGCAAAGTGCAATTTGATAAGCTGTAATGCCTGCGTATGTCGGGGCATTCAAACAAGGCCTGCATTCGTGCAGTAGGAAGGCTATTACCGATCGACGACGTCCTTCAACAGCAAGATGAAGGGCAGTTTTGCCTGAGAGCGCTTCGCGTGCCTCAAGATCAGCTCCGAGTCTTAGCAACAAACGGACAAGCTCAACCTGACCACCGGAAGCGGCTATATGCAGACACATCTCTCCTGAAAAAATAAATAAAGGCGTCGTTAGTTTTTCTTACTACATATTATTCTTCAATCTAATCTTATTTATAACGCTTAAACTACGAGTATACAATTCAAATGCAGTATTTAATATTATTCTAGGAATCAAGATATAAACTAATTGGAAAATAAAAAAGGCTCCAACAAAGGAACTTTTGTTGCTGGATCTTTACAATCTTCGTTAACAGTTACACCACTATTTCCATTCAGTATTGTGCATCAAACATTTAATATTAGTAAAAATAATATAAGAAATATTAATTGGAAAAAAAAAAAAAAAAAAAAAAAAAGAAAAGAAAAGAATAATTAAGACCGCAAGTCGTTATTTTTTCCTTCTTTGGTATAGACTTTAATTTGAGACACCTCTCATATGTTTTTTCCAAGTGGTATTAACGAGATACGCAAAAAGATAAAAGCCACGTCACCCGTTGGCTGATCGAGCAATAATTAGAGAAATAACGAAACATCGTGGATACATCATTTTCGACTTAATTTGTAAAAAGGTGGATGGGGAAAGAATCCAGAAAAAGGGAAGAAGAGTGTAGATTTAATTTGGAACGATCGCGTGACATGCCTTTAGAAGATATAGATAGAACTAGGAAGATGCCGGTGAATCATTGTCGACGGAGGTTTGGCCGGAGTCCCGGGGTCCAAACTAGGCTTGTACCGATCAAAGTGACCACTAAAATTAGATCTTCCCGACGACGACGACCGGCGCGCGCGGTGCATTGGCGGAATTAAATCGAAAAACACATGAGACTATATATACATATGTGCGTATGATAAAACAACAATCGAGGATAAAGATATCTCATGGAAACTACGTTGAGTTACGTATATTTGCGAGGTATATTTACACTTAACGTACAAAGATTTATCTTCGTAAACAAAATCAACAGAAACAAAAGAAGGAAAAAGTGATAATAAATTGTTCGCTTGAAAATATGAATGCACCCGCATAATTGATGTTTACGTCATTAAAAACTGTTTAATAAATCAAACATCTGATCACATTCCGTCTCTTTATCCTCATGGAGACATTTCAAAAAATGTTGACTGAAATAATAAGAGCAGTGATTCGGTGCTTCTATTCTTAAAATTAGAATGATACACTTTGATGATCCACCATCGTCTACACCATTGTGGGGTTTTCCAAAGCTGCCAACCGATGCGAGAATAGCGTGGCACGTAAATAGTCTAACAAGTATTTTTAAATATCAGAAAACATCTGCTTCTTTGCCTTCTGTCTCATAGACCCCCCCCCCTCTCTCTTTCCATGATGTAACGCACGCGCTCCCTTCACGATATGTCACACACACAACACACACACACACACACACACACACACAAGATACCATAGAAACATTCTTCCTTTATTTTCAAATTTACAATGAAAACTAAAGTAAGCAAGATAAAAACTGGAAAGAATATTCTTATTGCAGTTCTATTACAATTAATATATAAGTTTAATTTGAATGAAAAATAAATGTAATATTACTTGAAAATAAAATATGTTACGTAGGTATATATTGTTAAGTAAATATGTGTCCTCAAGAGGATAAAGTCGATGAGCGTTAAAAACCGAAAAAAGCTGATTAATCGGCTAGCGGTCAATAAAGTGTAAAATAAAAGAAAGACAAGATAAATTGCGTTGAATTTTTCATCGACATTCTATCACTATTTAGAATTGCCGATTAAAGAAGGTGGTACGATCGCGAGACATTACGCTATGTGGTAATTCCAAGAAATTTACAAAATATTCTCTCAATATATTTTCCGTTGGGATATACTTTACTCTAACGGCTGTTTAATCATTGGATTATCCTTCTTGCATTATTTGTTGACTTAAAAAAATAAAAAAGACTAAGAGAGAGAGACGAAATACAAAAACCACAAAGAAGGGCACCCGTAAAAAAGAGTTAAGAGAAAGCAAGCGTATTGCGTCGCGCTTGGTTAGGTGACTTGATTAGAGGGGAAAAAACGTACTCGACAATGGGAAAGCCTAATGACTAAACTTTGGAATGTGATAACTTTGAGAAACCTCATATTTCTTGGAGAACATTTTTCTTATTCATTTTTCCTTTTTATTATTATAATTATTATTATGTTTGTTTTTTCAAAGCCGACTCTCATTTATTTGCGGTTAATATTAAAATCCCAATATGAAATTACGAAATACGATTGTTCTTATAAAATATGTTAGAGTTAATTGTTATTCATAACCCTGCAATCACCGCAAATGTGGTCCGGATGCATTCTAACGTGCAAAAAATAAATAAATATATATATATGGAATGATGCAAAAAGAGAGGATAAAAAGATTTTGTTCGTAATTTGTTTTTAACATTTATTCGCGTCGATATACCGTCGTCACGGTCTTTAGGGATTTCCCAGAGCGATTGGAACACGCTGTACTCGTCGTTATGACACATATAATGAAGACAAAACAACTTTCGAGACGATTTGTGATCGGTATCAATAACTACTCGTGACAATAATGATCAAAATATTATCTAATAAATCAAATCTGATCTTATATGTGATATTGAGCGGAGTAAGAAAATTGTAATTATCCACGCGCGTACGTCATAATTAAAGGTGAGTGCTATTGCAGTGAAGTGGTGGCTTATGACAGTGAATGGTAGGACAAAAAATTCATTTTATAATCCAACTGTAATTATAATATCAAATTAATCATAGAATGTATTTTTTTGGTAAATTTTAAATCACTTTACTATTATAATTATCGAAACATATATCGTCGTCCAGGAATTTTATTGTAAATTTCAAATATGCGATCAGAAGGATTGATCTTTTTCCTTCGTTTTCAAACAATAGTTCAATTTTTCACGGAGAAACCAATATAAAAAGTAATAAAATTTGTTCATTGAATTTTGGTGGTATGGTTTTGCAAATGTACTCGCGCGCGCGAAAGAGAGAGAAAGAGAGACGCCAGATGGTACATATGTTCGTTGATGAAATCATGGGAAATCCACAAATGTGCTCATATAATCGACAAAGGCAACAAATAATTCTCAAGACCATTTAAAGCGTCTAAAGATTACAATTTTTTTAATGTTCTATTCTTCCAATGCAATTTTTATATCCTTGGCAAGATTTTCCTTTTTGTGTAGCGTAATTAAAGTTAAATAAAATCAAATAAAATAAAAGAAGTAAACAGTATAGCGTTAAAAGAAATAGTGCGTTAGTTTTGGTATCATTTGGATTAAAAAATAAAGAAAAGTATATTGTGTAAGATACGATGCTATCAAATTTGATCAATTGTAATAATTTTCACTGCAACTTAAAACCAAGGTCTACCCATAAACAAAAAATATAATATAATATCAGACTTGTCGCGCTTGACACCATAATTTATTTCTACTAAATTTGACATTAATTAATCAAAGTACAAAATATTAAATCCATCACTTACCGTCATAATTTCTCTGTTCTAAATTTTGTGGCAGTGCTGGAATCTTGTTGCCAGGTAGGAAATAATTTCTTTCGACAGGAGACAAGGGATCGGTCAGAGCCTTGGCGCAACTCAAATCGCCAGTTGCGCATGTAAGATGAAGTGCCGTGTTTCCCCGTAAATTCCTCAAGGAAGGATCCGCACCTGCCAGGATAAGACGTCTAACGATTCTTGGTTGGCGAGTTAAAACGGCCAAATGTAATGGAGATTGACCGTCATCGTTAAGAATATCCAATAAACACGGATGGGGTGCCATTCTTATGAGACTAAAGGCAGCCTCCAAAAAGCCTTGCACAATGGCGATATGTAGTTGCCTAAAACGAACACAAATAAACGAACAAAATTAATCTCCAATGTTGCAAATAAATTGGACAAATAAATTCTTCTAATTTCATATGTAAAATGTGCAGAATAAACTAGAAAAATAAATTAATCTAATTTTGTCACTGTTGTTTGATCAAATTTCGGTCATTATAAGGTACTATTATTATATATATATATATATATATATATATTGTAGCAAACTAATAAGTATAGATTTCGACATCGATCGAGGTTCAAACGTTCAATAATAATATTCCTAAATCCTATCATCAATTGATGACCCTTTCACTCATGTCAGCCATAGTCGCTATCTCTGAACGAACAGCGCCTTTAGGCGCTTAGCTATAATGTACTCTTCTCCAATAATGTACATTCATGGGGTTTTTTTTTTTATACACACGTTTCTTATTCAAAATTTGTTGTTAACAAAGGACGACTCATGCATCTCCAACAGTTATTCGCGCTCCTCAGCGAAAGGGTTAATTATCATATGATCAAAAAACTGAAAGATACGTGTAAAATATAACATATCATTCGTTTGAATATCAATCATATAAATTAAAGAGAAAAATTTCAGAAATTAATTTTTTACTTGAAGAAGTCTAATTATTAAAAAAAAATAATCGCATTAAAATATTAGCCATTTTCAATGTTTAATAAGATAAAAATTGAAGTAAACATTATCAAACACAATAAGTGATAGTATTAGCAATATTGAATATCATCAAATTCATTTATCATTCATTTTCAGTGATTTCAAATTCATGAACAAATAAATTCGTTAACGATGATCGTTCAATGACCTCTTTTTTCAAATACTTCAATCATAAATCTACATTTTCTGATAATATCGCGCCCATCATAAGAAGGTATAATTATTCTTCAACATATGAATTATGTGGCCATAAAAAAGAATCATCGGTGACATGATAAATACATAATCATCTTTCTTTTTCTCATTTTCTCTTTCGTAATTCATCAAAAGACACTTGATTTGACGAAATTATTGCAATATTTATTTCTTCATATACAATTTCGTAACTGCATGCTTTGTACTTATATAATACGATGCTATTACAAATGGGGAAAACCGAAAACAAATATTTCACGTCATTCTTTCCTTAATCATTCAAATTTAGTGTCTAGGATTTGTGGCATTTTTGTTGACACCTTATTAGATATTTAACATTGAGGAAGAGGGGCCTGAGGAAGAGGGGCCTGAGGAAGAGGAGCCAAAGGAAGAGGCAGGGACGGCGGACAGGGGAAAGAGAAAAGGATAAATCTAAAGAAACATGTTGTGCATAAAACCTTGTTGATAACAACACCATATTATATTAGTAATTTAAAGTATTAAATGATCTTAATATTCTTTAAATTTATAACACTTTTTTCGCAAACTATTAGAAATACCAACTGACTTGTTATTTATTGTTTTCTTTTTCATTGAAGTCCGGGATAATCCCAGCAAGGCAACTTTTAACGTTGCGATCCCACGTCTCTAAATATTTCCAACAAAGTATTTCTGTCATTCCAGTTAAGAAAGTATTCTAATCTAGAGTTTGGAAAAATTCCTTTTTTTTTAAAAGCATAGATGTTTAAGAATATGTCAGATACGTTAGAAAATTGACTAAGTTGTGGCCCTTTTAATACGGTAGGATCGCTCTGACTCGCATCGGACAGTGGTCCGGTAAATTTTGATTTTTGTTAGTTTTAAAAAATAAAAAACTGCAAAAAAAAGAAAAATTACAAAATTGTTTGTCATTGTAATTCCTGCCACAATGACAAGGATTTACAACCGGTAGTATCAAACCTCTTCAATCAATTCGCACATGTGTGATTAGCGTAACAAATGACGGTCTGTGATATTTAGTTCTTTGCAAAACTTTCTTCCTGTTTCACATTAATATACATTCGAGGACTTTAATGAAATGATACACAAAATTTAGGAGTATTTTCTAACTCATAATAAAAAACGACAAAATTTTTGCCTTTTTATTTACTATGTTTTGCGCATATTTCAGCTTCATAATTTTTTTTTTTTCGTCATTATTTAAATATATAAAAAATTGTTGAAATTACGATTGTCGAAAGTTTGTCTACGCCAATGTTCCCCATCAAAACTTTCAATGTATTTTTCTTACAAAATTATTAACATAATTTTGTCTGTAATTAATTCTTACATCGTTCGAACTATCGACAAAAATTAGAAAATATTGTTTAGCTTTTGTTAGCAATTTAAAGTTAAAAAAAAAGTATGTTTCTATTATTTTTTCTTTCATAAACCGATAAACTTTACGAAAACGAATTTATTTTCTTGTATCTAGAAATGATGTCCTAGAATTTTTATCAGTTCAGAAGAGAGAAAAAGTAAAGAACGAGAACAAAAACGTGTCATGTATGTATGACTCCATATTTATTTTTCTTTTCTTTGCTGATTAAATTTCTCTTTTAGGAGTCTTTAGAAAAATAAACCAGAAATAAACAAAAGAAAACGATCTAAATTTAAAAAGGAATAACCATATTTAAGTTAGTTGGAAATGATTCATCATTATAGGCGAATATGTTTGTAGAAAAAAATATTCAAAAGTAGATACGCATAAGCGGTGAAATAAATTGACGTTAGTTAATAAATTATTAGTCATCGCAAGATTTATTGAAACATATTTACATATGGAAAAAATCTTAACTAGAAAAAGTGCATGGTACTAATGTGAATGAAATGATTCATAAAGTATAGAAAAAAAATAAAATGCCAAAAAAAAACTATTGTATCTGACGAAATGACGTTCTAAGCGACCTATGCACTAATAATTTATCAATCTAATTTTCCTTATTTATCGATCGATGACCTCTCATATCAATATTAAATAAACGTCAAACTTATTTTTACAAATATAATATAAAAAATATAATCCTTCAAAAATATAACATGAAAAATATGATTTTTTCAAGTTCCTGCCTAAGAAATTCTTTCTAACCTATTTACATATGTATATATATATATATATATATATATTTTTTTTTTACTAATTATGGCCTTATTAATACCTTACACAATACTTTCCTAGAAAAATTTGTTCATTTGCAATATTTTGAAAGGATAGATGAAGTCGTTACGATTTGTTTTTGTCATTATGTTATGAGTTGGAAATTATTTTGATTTAAAATGAGACCTTTTAAGTTTAAAGACAAATATTTGAAATGGCTTAGCTCCGGAGCCCTTCAGTGTACAAAAATGAAGATTTCCATCGACAATATGCTCAATGAAACCAAATAAAGTCGAATGTATTGATAAAACGATAAAAAGTAAAGATTGAATAATGAAAAAAATAAATAAAAACAAATAAACTTACGTGTCTCCCTCATTGTCCTGCGTGTAATAAAGCTGCCAAGGCTCCTCGATTAATCTTTTCCGTCGATTTTCACAAATTCCAATATTATTGTCAATGATTGGGGATACATAGTCTCCTTGATGTTGCTCAATAATATTTTGTTGATCTGGGCTTAGAGGTGCAAGTTCAGTGGTAGGCTCGACTTGTACTTTTCCACTTGCCAAAGGATTCAAAGTAACTTGTTTAAGGGTTAGTTGGCTCAAGCTTTCGCTTAGGCCAAGATCTACGCCACTGTCGGCTCTCATTGGTTCCGATGTTACGACACTAAAATCTCTTCCAACGTCCAACTCCGAGCGTTCGAGCTCGGAGCTGAGCTGCAAATTTCCACTAGAAAGAAATCCAGAATCAATGCGATCCGAATCCTCAATTTCCTTCTTCCAATTTTTCTCGGCGATATTATCTGCAACATTATCTCGATGTTTTGTCTGTTCAACTTTCCTATCTGATGATGAGTGCCACATTTTCTTTTTCTTTCTTTTTTATATTCTCTCTATTTTTACTTTCACCTTGGGTTTTTCCTCTTTCTCCTTCTAATCAACCAATAACAGTAACAACACAACAAGACACACGCGACGCAATGCAATATATATATATATGTTATATATTATATAAATATGTATATGGTATGTGCTTTAGGTTATGTACGCATTTATACTAATTGTGGGTGGTAGTATCACGCACGATAAAAGAAAGAAAAAAGATAATTTCTGATTAATCAATTTCGCACTTGCAATGATAAAGAACAAATTAATCGAACTTGCCGCTTAATACGTCGCGTTATTATACGTATTATATTTAATTTCGTCGTAGTCGTTCGCGTTAGAACGCACCGAACCGTGCGAGTATACGTTTCTCGGACGATGCGTTTCGTTCACCGTTTATCCTCAAACAGCTGCCACTGCTGCACTTCTCTCAGGCACAACCCGTCGTTTCCTTTCGTTGCCACCCTTTCGTCGCATTCTTCGCTCGGCCTAATCCGGCCAAGTTCGGTTGCTCTCGTGCCTACTCGTCGGACACCGCGCGTCCTCGTCTCTTCAGATTAAACGTTACGTATTCGGACACTTTCAAAGCAAGTAACCAAAATATTTTCTAACTATTACTGACGATAAAGACATTTCAGAAAATTACTTTATTTTACTTCTCTCTAAATGTTTACGTAGAAAAACTTATTAATCGAATGAGATTTTTTTCAAATAACGAACAGAGATAATCAATTTTAAATATTAGCAACGACAAGCTGCACATATAATTTAACCCTTCGTGCACAATGTTCTTATGTCCACTGAACGTAGTCACGTTGCGCACTGGAGAGATAATTAGCGATCGTAGCGCCATAGGCGGGAATTACTTAAACTTCCCGTAAAACAGGGTAGGGGTGGGAAAACCCATCTGAACCGGACAAGGCCGCCCTCAACAAACCGAATGTTTCGATAAGAAAACAATTTGAATCTCATTGGCACGATTTCACCGTTAATTTAGCAAGAGAATTCTTATATTATGGATGTTAGCTTCTCTTTTTTCTTTCTTTTTTCTTTTTTAATACTTTTATCCATTATCTCGTAATTAAAAGAATAAATATTAAAGGATCAACTGTATAGTATAATAACCAAATCTTGACTTTGATTTAACAAATCCGTTATTTTTATTCTTAAAGCTATCTTTACTCAATATAACGTCATGTCACGACTATATATATATATATATAATAACAATATTTTATTCAAATAAACGTGGAATGGAAAAATTTTTAATCGATTATCGTTCTAACTTTATACATCAATTTACATTAGTCAAGCTGAAGATAAACCAAATGATAAACCACACCAATCACGATTCATAACTGATCATAATTAACTGATCGATATTATTTGTGGTTTGCCTCTACTATACTCGGATTTATTATAAATTTAAAATAAAATGTTTTCCTTAGACAAAACTCGAAGATCAAGAATAAAATATAAGTTGTCATACTTTGGATTATTTAATTATTTCTCATTATTACCGTTGATAATTTTACATAACCGCATATCTACGATTTTTTCTCTCTTTTGCAAAATTTACGTTTACGTTTTCCTACATTTCAATGAACAAGCATACATTTTTTGGAAAAGAACAGATGGGTTCCCGGACATGCGATTTCTCAAGGATTATCCCAGATAATCTGTTATATCGTTCTTTGATCAAACGAATCGTAGAGAGCCGATTTCTCTATTAAAAAGAAACACTTTCTTGTCTCTTTAAAGTTTACAGTTGGTCTACTTTCTTTTACGTACCATCGCTGCGGTATGAATCCACGAACTCATCGTAAATACCAAGTGGTATTTCCAATAGCGATTGTGTGCTTGAAACAAATCGGTTATGAATAGGCAATAATACCAAATAAGCTTTACTTGGAAAACATTTTGTTAAAATCAATCATAAAATAGAATCTCCTTTAAACTTGGGTTTTCCCTTTTTATCGTTGGCCCGATCCTCTTGTTCTCAACTTATTATGTCAACGTAAGATTTTTCTATTTGTTATCAAAATTTACACAAAGATTGATCGATTTGATAATGGCGTCGAAGAGTTCTTGTTAGCTAAATAATATCATCCTACTTATCGATTATTAACTCAATATTAATCTCACGTCAAGAAAAATCTTCAATATCTTCGATTCGATCGATTTAGGATTCACGTATTTTTCAAGTACACGTATGTAAGAGAAAATTACTCCAAGAATGATTATCCTTCCATAGCAAATCCTCTATGAGCCGATGCTGATTTTAATGAATCATTGAGATTTCAGCGCGGTCACCGCGAATGATGAATTCCTTTGTTACATACTACGTAACAAGCCAACTCACTTGTAATGCATATTTCTTTCACGAAGATTTTATAGTTTTCTTTTCAATCACTTTGATCAAAAATAAAGAAAAACGAGAAAACAAGGAAAAGGAAAGAAATTGATTGTTACCGGACTCGATTTGCTTAATTGCGCCAGGATTTAATGGAATAAATGTTATCGTATTCATTATAAATCACATTTTACGATCTGACTGGGACCGACAAAAATAAAATGGTCCTGTTTAGGATATTAAAGATAATATTAAATAATAAATGGATCGTGGTAAAATTATCAGGTGTCGCCATTTTAATCCTGAAATATTCGATTAATCCAAATTATAATATCAAAAATCCTATCTAATCATCTTGACCTCGAGGTAGGTAACATTATTTTTCTTTTTATTCGTTGATTCTAATGAATTTTATTCGAGCTATCTGGGGAAAACCTGGCCGAGATAAGAACAGAAAATATATTATCGCGGGTATCGTTGTCGTCCCGAAGGTATGCGTATTATTCGAACATTTCTCATTTCAAATGGCGCCGAAATTTAAACATCCGCGAGAAGAAAAATAAAAAAAGACAATTGAACGTTTATTATATATATATATATATATAATATTGAATATTATAATTATAATTATACGAGCAAATCTCGGTATTATCGTCGACAAATTTTTATAACTCGTTTCCAAAAAGAAGAGAGAGATAGGACGGTATTTTTTAACTTTTCCTACAAAATCCCTCGGAATATTTGTATTTCAATGATAATTTCGTTAGGAAGATAACGATAAGATTTTATTTCTTTTACTATTTTTTTTTACTGGACCCTTTGAAAATATCCTCTTATCTATTATTTTATCGATCTCGGATGTTTTTTAATTTTTTTATTTTTTCTCATTAATATTTAATTCAACTTAAGATAACATAATCTGAGCGGTCTTATTGTTTTATTTAAATTCGAACCAAACTCGTTTTCTATATTAAAAATGTATCTCGGAGATTTTAGAGAAATCATCGTAAAATTTGTCGAATGTCGAGCGTTGTTGTCCGGTTAAACACAAGGTTGGGAAAGTACGATGACTCAATGATAAAACGAAAAGTAGTAGATATTTTTGCCCGGATATCTCTGAAAATCCTTTCGATCTTTTACTTTCGAGTTTGCTTTATTTTAATCAAATCGTTTTTTATCATGCACTTACACGCGATCACGAAGAATGAAAGTGAATTGTCGTTAGGAAAAAAGAAAATTTGCATTTAACTCAAGCGTGTTTCTATTGCAAACAATTATTATAATAATACTAACTCTGTTTTGAAATGATCTTAATAATCTGTTTACGTTAGAGTTCTTGGATTTGTTTACAATCTACGGATTTCAATATTTCCTTTGTAGTAAATCAATCGACGTACTCAAAGAACTTTTTTGTTAAACATTTTTCTTGCAACCCAATTATCTGTGATCGTGTCTCGAATATTTTTAAATTTATATAAATTAAAAATAAAATATACGAATTAAAATAATCAACAACGTGAACAGTACTTACATGCATTCAATTGTTTTGACAACGATGAAGAGTTAGCAGATAAAAGTAAATATTCTTCACTTTTTATAAAGAATTATCTTTTGTTTTTTGTTATTGTGTTTGCCTTTTTCTTTATCTCGCATTGAAACATCATGTGACATATTCCTTAATTCGTAAAATATTCTTAATCGCACACGAGGATGTGCGGTTACGTGTACATTATTCTGCACAATTAAATAACAAACTTAAATAATGATGTTATAGAAATATTTAAACTTGTATTATTAAAGGCGTGAGAAATGTAGAAGAGTTGATCGTTTACTCTTCGAAAAGATATTGAATACAATACTTTTACTACTACTTATAACGCGAATCGGAGAGACAACGAAAGACTGCGCTTAAATTGACTCGAGCTCCGCGCAAGTCAATCTCGAATTAACAGCATAGATATGCTGTTAAATCCTTGTTTAGGAAAATCCTTGAGAGAGAGAGAGAGAGAGAGAGAGAGAGGGAGAGAAAGAGATGTGAAATGAGACGACCATGTATAAACTATGTTGAAAGAAAGTATTAGAGAAACATGTTCCCGTACATTTCCTTAAATTTAGGTTTGAACTTTCCCTTGGAAAATCCGTAACAGCCGCTTGATTGTTTATTGGTTTCAAGAATAAAATTTCTTCCCACGTTTCTCTCATGTTCACGAATTTTTGTAGATTCTTTCTAATCCATTGACTGTTGTAAATGCGTCTTTTTAATACATAAATTCATGTTTTATTGCAACGTGTGGTGTGTATAGTTATATACAAATATTTATCGTTTCAATCGAAAAACTTCATCATTTGTTTTCATTTTTTCTTATTTCTTTTACAATATTAAATTAAACAATTAATTTATTATGCGAAATGTTCCAGTATACCTTGCGGCTCGTATTTTTATTACTTGTGTTCTTTTTCTTCTTCTTTCATAGTATTTAATTAAATAATTCATTATGCCAAATGTTCTAGTATACCTTGTCTGATAAGCGGTTCGCAAATTACTCTGGGTAATAAGTGATATGTATTCTTCTTCAGAGTAACTACTTGTCCATTTTCGATCTCCAATTTCCCATAATCCGTTAAACATTTAACCTGATAATAATAACATTAATCCAATGAGTTGTAAAAAGAGAAAGAGAAACTAACTATAAATATAAAACACAATGACTTACTTCAATATAAAGCGATTTAGGTGGTAACATATTAACAGTTAAATTAAGTCCACAATTGTCTCCTATAGATCTCATGTAAGTAGCTAACGATTTATTGTAAGAACGGAACCACTGAATTTCGGCATTCAGTAAATTCGAATTTATTTCTGGCGGTAAAATACTACCCAAATCCCAACGCATTTGACGCAATCTTCTCATTCTGTTATACAAATATGCCAAGATGCACCTTTTGTTTCTAGTTAAAACTATGTGTCTAAATTTTACTGATGGGAGTAAGGCCGTATTGCCGTCATTTTTTATTGCATTACTAAAATGATATGAACAATTAATTACAAATTAAAGCAAAACATAAATCTAAATATGACATATATTTACCTATCAAGTAAATTTGCTTCGTAAAGATACTGCATTTCTTCTAATACTTGTCGAATCACAGTTTCCTTTTAAACGAAAGTTTAAACATTTTATTCTCTTTTATGCATTTACATTTTAAAATATTTGTAAATTTGATAATTTTTCTTACTTACATTGAACGGTTTAATATCATCGGTCAAATCAAGTTCGATAATAAGTTGGAATGCTTCTTTTCCAAACATCTTTAAATATTTAATACCAATTTATTTGGATTTAAATACACTTCATTAAATATAACCTTACTTTTATATATATATATATATATACAAATTTGTACAATTTTGAGGTCATAAATATAAAAATTGTGGAGGTAAAAAATGTCTGCTTTATGATACATCAATGTAAAAAGTATTAAATTAAATGTCTTGTAATAATTATTCTTAAATATTATTTAAATGTACATAATCTCACTTGGATTTCTTAATAGCGGCACTAGAGACATCTGTCTACAAAATTTATTGGTATACACTGAGAGACATCAAACATTGCATAACCTTATTTTTGTTTCACAAGTAATTGGAATTAAAATAATGTCGATTTTTCATAACGTTTTAACAAATTTACAAAAGCGATGTTTGCAAATGTTAAAGTACAGTACTACAGTAAAACCAGATGCAGTTGTATCGGATATATTAAAACCAATAATTGATATAAAATCATATGATAGTGAAAGATTTTTTCACAAGTCACGAGAAGTGTGGATAGAAAATTTAGACACGATTCAAGAAAAGAAATTAGGTCTGCTCAATTTACATCCGGAAATATTTGCGGCCCAACCAAGAATTGATATCATTCATGAAAATGTTAAATGGCAAAGGTTATATAGTTTTGTGGTAAGCAATATTATAATACGTACACACACACACACACACACACACACAGTTTCAATGGACAGAACTTGCGTTCTATTAGTTAGTTAAAATTTTTCTATCGTTTTTTACTTAATCTAATTTCTATTTTGTTTCTAGAGTTATGCGCATTCGAAGACTAAAGCAGAAGTAAGAGGAGGAGGTAAAAAACCTTGGAAACAAAAAGGTACGGGAAGAGCACGTCATGGTAGCATACGATCACCTTTATGGAGAAAAGGTGGTCGAATTCATGGTCCCAGATCGCATACTACTCATTTCTATATGCTACCATTTTATTCTCGCATTGCTGGTCTTACATCAACATTATCCGTTAAACTTGCTCAAGATGACTTACATTTGGTAAAAGATTTGGAAATACCTTCCAATGAACCATCTTATATCAAGCAATTGATTGAAGAAAGAAATTGGGGACCTTCTGTGCTTATTGTAGATAGCGAAGATATTATGCCGGTTAATTTGACCATGGCAACGGATACTATACCCCATGTAAATTTAATGCCTGTTTATGGTACATATTTATCTTATTATATCAAATACTAATAAGGGTGTTTCAAAATACATTGGCATAATTCGATTACTATGTGGATAGCCTATTTGTAATGCCTTGCCTGATATATACATTATATAATAAATATTGTATTTAATAAAATTTTATATTTTTAGGTTTGAATGTGTACAGTATGCTAAAACATAATACATTGATATTAACACACAGAGCGGCACGATTGATAGAAGAAAAACTATTATTTCATTTGAATAGATCAGACAGCAAAAAGTTGTTAGGGAAATTCAAATTAAGTCAACAGTAAATGGCTTATTACATCGCTTAATCAACACTTACATAGATTATTTTTATTTAGTGTGTGTAGCATCTTTGTCATATTTTTTTGAATTAAAAAAATAAATCTCTTAACTAATAAGTATCATACGAATATTTTTTCTCCCATAATAATTCTAGATAATGAATATTTTACTGATTATAATTAGATTTGCTTATTAATGGTTTATAAAAATTGTTACCTGGTACCTGAATTAATGTTTTTATAATCTAAGGATAATATTTTGTTAATTTTAAATGCACAATCTAGTACACAATAAAATAATAGTTGTAGGATATTTAAAGTTCATTTTTTAAACGACAGCGGTACGTTCAACTTATAAATATTTTAACATGTGGCCCATACAATAAAAATGTTCCATAATCCGTTAGAAATATCTCAATATAAAACTATAATGTAATTAATAACAATTGTACCAGGTAAACTTGAATATTTTTCATATATATGTACTATCTATATCATAACATCCAATGTCATTTTTTCCTCAATATAGGTACACTCGCAGATTTCCTTGGCAAAGGCTGTACAAAGTTTGAAAAAAATATAAATGCGAGGGGTAAAAATGAAATGATTAAATTGTTAAGATATATTTGATATTTACCGGAGGGTGAGGATCAATGCCAAGCATTCTTTCACGTATAGCCCACCTTACAGTCGTGTGTTTCGCTTCTCCAGGAAATGCTATCTGCTTCCATTCTTCCTGATATTTTTGATAAAGAGCAACTGGATCGCATTTCTTATTTGTACTTTTTTGAACATCTGGATGTAATCGCCATGGTCTAATAACTAAAACAAATTTATTAACATACTTTTATACATATATTTATACTTTTATTTTTAATTCTTAATTTAAAAGATTTATTATATCTTACATGATTTATGCATTGAACAGCTTGAACTCTTAGTACGTGGAAGACTTTGCGATCGAACAGTGACAGAATGATTGGAGGATATACTTTTGGATCTTGATTTATAGTTATTCTCTACAATATTTGGTGCACCAATCAATTTGTTGCAATCTGGCAATACCAGCTTGGAATGTACTGGTTGTTCTTGAGAAATCGTATTATATTTATTACTATCATAGTTCGCATTATAAACATTCTGCATGGAATAAGAAGTAACCGAAGATTGAGTATCATTTTTGGATTGTTGTTGAACACTCGACCGAGATTTATAATTTATGGAATTATAGTCTTTCTTATTTGATCGAGAATCCTCAATAAGGTTTGCTTTATACTTGATATATCTATGTTTACTTTTAACCGGATTCGATTGCCTTTTAAATGGCGTAACAAATTCTTCTTCCAAATATTTTTCTGCTTGATTTTCTTTATCTTCTGGAATACGTTTGATTTTTATTTTTACCAAAGACTCGTTTTCAAAATTGGAAGAAGTTGAATTATTGCTAGTAACACCGTTTAATTCTTTCGATTGTTCGCTAAGAATTTCATGAATCATTTGTTGCTGTTTTTTTAATATTTTCTTTCTTATTTCTTCTTTATGTTGTTCTTTTTCATGTTCCTTTATCTTCTTGTATATCTTCAAATCTTTTAACAATAATGGTAAACAATTAGAAACATATATTCCAGACTTCACGTTTTATGAATTATGATCCAAAATAAAATTCATTTATAGTGAAAACAATTGCTAACCACTATAAAAGTTATAAAAATGTATTTAATGAAAACAACACATGTGTGTGGCGTTATATGAATCCATTACCTTTCATAAAAGCTTTAAGTTGTGGTGCAGTAATACCAATAAATCCCAATGAATTAAGTATCGTGAGAACTTCTCGTGGGTCATCGTTTATGTTAGACATATTATTAAATTAATATAATAATAGAAATTCGACTTTTCATTAACTGTCACGTTTAAGCGATTTCAAATATTAATATTTGTGACGGTTAAAAATAGTCATTGAGTCCACAAATAACGTAGATCAAAAACTACATAATTTAAAATCAATCGATAGATATGATAAGCAAATTTCTACTTATTCTTTACCATATTTCTAATATAATATTATTTTAAATATATCTATATATATATATATATATATTAATGTTATATAAGTGATGTTTTTCTATATTATTTAACAAATTTTATTAACAATATAAAATATGAAAATAAATAATTAGGAGTTGATATTTGTTTTCAACGCGAAACAGTGTCATCTAGCGGTGGAAGCGCATACTATAAATACCGTACGAGACGCGTTTAAATATCGACGAATATTTATGCGCATCAGCAAAGAAATATAAATAAATGAATTATTTATCAATAAAAAAAAATATATGATTTTTAACTGCATGCATAATATTGATTATAAACATTAGATTAAACGACAATATAAAAAATAAAAAATATAACATATCAATGTGCGGTTACACGACATATATAAAATACGGAATATCCATAAATGTTGCGCAGAATCTTGTTTCAGCAATATTTAAAGTTGATCGAAGCGTATTTAATTGTTCATCAGTCTGAAAAGAGACCTTGAAAGGTAATGTCGTCAATAAAGCTTTCGGTTTTCTTCTTTCTGATCGGAGTGATTATTTTGTGACACTTTTATGGTAAGAAAAATTCAAATTTCAATAAATATTTATTTTATTATTTGAATATTTTCATTTTAATTGAATTACCATTAATGTGTTAATGTTGTTAAAATATTATATAGATGATAGACTTTTTTATTTAAGTACACAAAAGTTTATTTTAATTTTTATAGAATCAAACGTATTAAAATATCGAATATGAATAGAAGAAAGAATACAATTTAAAAAAATGATTATTTTTAACTGTTTATTATATAGCGATCGATGCATCATCTATGATTGAAATAATAGATGTACCCTCTGTTGTACGAAACGGTACTGGACCAGTCAAACTCTCTTGCATTTACAAAATCGATGAGAATGAAAATGGTCTGGTTGTTAAATGGTATCACGAGTTGGATCAAATTTATCAATGGATCCCACCGTGTAAATAAACCCTTGGACTATTATAAAAATTCTTATTGTAATTATAAAAAAAAGAAAAAAAAAGAAAAGAAATGGAAAGATTATTGGACATTATTGAGATGATTTATTATATGAAATATAATTATTAATAATATGAAATATATTTTAGTGCCACCCCAAGATATGGGAATAATCACGAACTATTCGAAATATCCAGCAAAAAATCTGATAGAACCGGAAACGCGCTCGATAATCGATTTAAAAATGATTACTCTTGATATGAGCGGAGAATACATGTGCGTTATCAAAACATTTTCTACTGAACATACCAAAGCAACTAGGATGATCGTTTACGGTAATTCGAAGATTATTTTTTTTTTATTTCATTATAAGATTTATTTTTATATTTTTTTGTAGTAATAAATAATTAATACCATTTATTTACAATTCCATAAAGCAATGGATTTCAATGAATGCATAAAAATTTAATTTAGTATTGTTTTAATAATAAATAATAAATATTGTTTATTTACAGTCCCGGAAAGCAGTGCCAAAATTCATGTCACTCGTTTCAATGATAGTCATACTAATATCAAATGTACAGTCTTAGGAGCACAACCAAGACCAACTTTGAAACTTTATATAGAAGGGATAAAAATCGATGATAAATTCGATCAATCATCGTTAATTATTCATGATAATATATATAAATATAATTCGTATGTAATATGGAATAGTATTATAAAAAATATGATTAATCCAGTATTAATAGAGTGCGAGATTTCTATTTCCGAAACGAATTATAAACGAAGAGAAAAAATGGTTTATTATCCTGATGGTATAAAATTAGGATAATAAATTATACAATTATATGAATTATAAAAATTCATTTCTTAAATATTACTCTGACGCAGTTAATTCCTATATAAGTCCAACCGTTAGATTCCTAAAAACACTGTGTTGTACAAATTCATACGAAACTTATACAATACTAAAAACATGTGCGAAAATGTGTTAATGATTCGAAAAATATTAATAAATTTGAAAAGAATAAAATTAACAAGAAAAAAATAACTATCATATTATTTTAAAATACCTAAAAAATACCTTTAAAATGACCTTTTAAAATACCTTGTAAGACAATACATACCTTATAAGAATAAAAAAAATGAATGATGGTGTCTCTATATTAAACATGCTGTTGTTTAATACAGGATTTTTCTTAATTTTCAAACTTTAATATAACAACAATGTATTGAAATGTTTTGTTATACGAAAATTTCCTAAATTTAGGATTCCCAGAATTTCGGAACGCGCTAAAGTAAAATCACATTGCAGAAATCCTGTATTATTAAAAAAAGTTTGTTACCTGTATTTAAAATGAAATGTTGTTGGTATACTTTAGTTAAGAAGGATCTCTTAAGAAGGATCGACAATCGAATGTTAATTAGCTATAATATTCCTATATTTATAGCGGGTACGGCGATTGCGTATAAGTCGAGGGTGGATTATAAGATATAAGTCGGCGGAAGGAGAGGGAAAATTTACTTAGAAATCGAGCAACAGGATCTTCCTTCCGATGCTCCTTAGAATCATTCGTTCGTCAGCTCTTACCTGCAACAAAAGTAAGCGTTCATTTTTAACATTGAATTTTCATCCATCAATAATAGTCAAGTCTATCATAACAATTACTCATTCTTAATTATTCATTTTTATTGAATCATTTTACTGTTATTTTATAAAATTTCATAGACCAAATCGTTTTAAATTTTAACTTCAAATTTAAAACTATTTTGGAAGTTTCGTATTAAAGTTTATTGTAAATTGTTATTAGTGTCGAATTGTTTTTTATGTATAATTTTTAAATCACATAATTTTCATTTAGAAATTAGTGTTCGCAATTGTATTTAATTAAATGTTTTTTATTATTATTGTTAGCTGAAAACAAGGAAGAAAAGTATAATTGAATTAATAAAAAAGTAACCAAGTTGGAATATAACGCAATGATGAGCCGCATCTGTGTAATTATCCTTATTGCAGGTAAATTCATTCAAATATTTTTAATAGATGTTTCATCTTTTTTTATCGCTGTTATTTTTATTGTAATTTGAATTTGATTTTTTCTACGGATTTTTAAAGTGAATATTTCAATAAAAATATTATTATTTAACTTTATCGAATAAAATATAACACGTTAGAGAATTCAATGAATGAATCAAAGAGATTATAGATTAGATTGAATTAATTAATGAAAACGCTATGTGTTCTCTGTACTGTAATCCTATTAGTTATCCTACTCTATGTTATTTATAAAAGAATTTCTTTCATCGATCGAATCAATTGAAATAATTATTAAAAAAATAAAAAAACATTAATACAATGTGTAATTATGTTTGTCCAAATGAAGACCTGAACATAGAATTGTTTTATCCATTTTTCCGATTTCATTTCTTTGATAAAAATAGTTTGTTAAGCATTTTGATTAAACAAATAATTGTTATTATTTTTGTTTAAATTAAAAACGATGTATATATGCATATTTCTATGCATAAATAATTAATTGTATTAAATTATACTAAATTTAATTGACGTGTGTGTGTGTGTGTGTGATATTACTTTATATTGATTTTATTAGAATATTTGATTCTTTAAGTCCCTTACGAGGAATACAAAAATATCGAAAGTTATAAAAAAGAAAGTCGTTTAAAATTATGCGTCAATTTACAGCTTAACAGAGCAACTTGTAATTACTTAATTGACATTCATTACCGATAGAGAGGTCGTGCTACCACATCCATAAATGCATCGAGTGTAGTCCAGTCGCCATAGTGTTTTCATCTAACACTCACCCTTTTTCTCTTTTTACAAACGTTAAACATATTTTTGTTAAAAATATGTTAGCACTTTTTACGGAATTCCTTTGACAACAATTCCCTTGAAAAATGTTTCAAGGGAACGAAAATGGAGATTCGAATTTACATTAGATTAATAATGTATTTATTAGAATTTTTAACTATATTATATTTTATAAATTATTTATGAGAGATCTATTTGATCAACACACACGCACACTGATGTTTATATTTTTTAAATTATAATTGAATTAAATTCGATTAGAAATTATTGTAATTTATAGATTATATAAATAAACATTTTCTTTTTTTTTTTTTTCAAATAATTTGCTATGCGCTTATTTTAATTTTGAACTATACTATATTTTATAAAAATTATTTTTTACCTTAAAAATAAATTGATATTCATATGCTTTTGAATCATAATTGAAAATAATTTATATACCGAACTTTTACGAAAAATTCTTTTTTTACGTAACTTTAATGACATATTTATAAATATTTTAGTTTGTGCTTTATGGACTTTGGGAGAGACTTTATCATGTGACCAATGTGGACAAGAATGTGCTGGAATTTGTGGTACACGACAATTCCGAGCCTGTTGCTTCAACAATATGAGAAAGAGAAATTCTAACTTCTTATATAAATTTGGAATGAAGCCACGAAAATATATAATACCATTCTATCGTCTGGCTTGCGACGCATAATATTAGATCTATTATATTATCTGATATACTTACGATTATTTCAATGATTTATATTGTTTCAACTAATCCCCTATATCTGATCAAATATTTTTTTTTCTGAATAAACGAATTGTTGCATGATATTAAAGATATTCTAGAGCAGTACGTACTCAGGGATAATTCTTTGATTACAATATAAAATATCTTTGATTGTCTGATTAATTATTTTCAAGATACCAATCTAATAATTATATCCATTTTCCCCATTTGGTAGTATTTTCTTTATTATTAATCCACATTCTATAATATTTATCAATTTATTTTATCGTTTATCTTGTTTTTCTTACTTACCTATTAATAAGCCACATTTTTATTAAGCATTATTATAATAAAATAATTCTAATTAGGAATAAATTCGTGTAGTATATAATGAGAAGATTAAAATGAAATTAAAATATTCTCTATTGATATATTTATAATTTATACTTTTTTCTGTTTGTTTTACATTAAAATTAAGTTGTTTCTCGTATCATATTTATTGCTTTCCTAATTAATAATTGATTTTTCTCATCGGTACATTTGTTCGATTGCTTCAGTAATTTATTACACTGTTTCTTAATAATATTCCATTGCAACTTGTCAATTCCTAGATAATGGTCCTTTTTTAAAAGTGTAATCAAATCTGATTTTGTCATATTATCGAAATTAAAAGCGACGTTTTCATTGGAGGTTTTATCGCGTGATTTAATCGATTTCCTTTTTCTTTTACATTTTTTTTTTTTTACTTTAGGTTCCAATTGACATATTACACTATCACTATTGCTAATTAAAGAACAATTGTTTTCTTCCTTTATTTTCTGTTTCTTACAATTAGATTTTAATTCAATCATATGTTTAGTATCATTTTCGTGTTTTTGATCAATTACCGATTGTTTTTGTTCTTTCAATGATTTTTCGTTACGTTTTCTTTTTTTGAAATTTATCGCACAGCTTGAACGATCAACAATTTCTGAAAAATAATGTAAACAAATGTTTAATATATTTAATGTATATTTTTATTTTATAACTTTTTATTTATAACTTTTTCATACCTCCGAGATCATCACTCATATGAATGGAGAGTTCGGTAACATTCTTTGAAACATTTGGTTTACAAATATTTTCCGATACGTCGGAGATCAATTCAGTGGTTTCTAATTTCATCAACTTATCTGTCAAATCAAAATTTAAATCCTCATTTAAGTTATCGTCTTGAAATTCAATCAATTTGAACATCTTGTCCTTCAAAATATTTTCTTCGAGGATGCTATGGTAATATAAAAAAATTATTTATAAAACACAAATTTTTTTAACTACAATACTTTAATTAGTTTATTTAATAAAAATACCTCGATTCATTTTCATCGAGCCATGGTAAAGCAAGCCATGATTTTAAATCAACCGGTAAGGTGTCATTTTTGGAAAGCCAAGGAAGACCAACTGTTTTGAACGTATTCAAGAATCGATGGAGGCTGTTATACCAAATGCAAGACCTTTTAACTAAATTTTTTGACAATACCCTGAAAATATAAATAATATATATATGAAAACTAAAATAAAATATTTTTAAAAATACATATATAAATAAATGACATACCAAATTCTACTTATGACTGCATATGCTACAAGCGTAATAGTCCACGCATGGCCCAAGACGACGCGGGATCGTAAAAAAATGCCAGCATTCTTTGTTACCTCCTCAACTCTTGCTAAAAGCTTTGCAAAACCTTGAGTTCTGACAAGAATATACTCCAACATTTGTCTGCTCGGCAATATAACGAATCTGCCGTTTAATTCGATGTTACTTTTAAAATTTTTGTATTCTTTTTCAAGCGCTAAATTCAAATAATTAAGTAAAGCTCTGTTAACTTTTTCCATGTTCTTAAAACCCTTGTCATTGCGAAATTTACACTTCATCCGGTAAATAATTCTGCTTAATATTGCCGCTTCTTTGTGAAGATCATTTTGGGCTTCTAAATCTTTAATAATACGTTGTAAAATCGCATTAAGTCCTTTGATATCTACATAGGAAAATAAAGTTACAATATATATTAATCATATTTATAAAAATATAAATTTTTAATAGAAATTGTGCAAATTTTGGGTTAGAATATATTCTTACCAAATTTCTGAGCTTCAATACGCCACGTGATATTTGGTGGATGTTCTATGTAAATTTTATTCCAAATAGCTTCCATATTTTAATTTACAAAATGTAATAATAATTTTTATATTATTTAAATACAAATGTTAATCTCAGACATTTGTTTTTAATGAGAAGTTACTGATTTCACAGCACCGAATGTAGAATTTGAGGTTATGAATCACACACTCCGCACACACATCACAAATCATTCATACGTATGAGTGCATCTGTGAATATAAATTATTTTATAATTTTATTTATGCCATTAAATTTAGTAATTTCTCTTATAATTGAAAAAATCAAATTATTTTGTTTGTATTAATAATATTATTGTAAACGACCATGGAGTCTATATAGCTCCTACTAAAGTCAAGCTGCGCTGAGCACGGTTAGTACTTGGGAACACCGTATGCTGTTGACTCCCATTTTCCGCCTAGTTAGTTATAATACCTAGTTGGTCCCAAGCTCAGACAAAGGAGCTTTGGACCTCTCAACCTTCGAGGGTGAGGCCAGCAACCTACCCTGGGTAAAAACAATAAAGCGCTCCCGGAAATAGCAATAAAAGCTATGACAGGACGAGGTCCTAATAAAAAAAGAAGAAGAAGAATATTATTAATATTTGATAATTTTTTGTATAATAATAACTGAACGTAAACGAGAACATTTAGGAATTACTGTACAATCATATCGGGTAAACCAAAAGGTTTAATTGGAATTAGTCGGTAAAGAACAAATGTTCCAGGTGAGAAGGGACCACATAGAATTAATTTATTTAACCTGTAATAACTGAAACCACCTAGAATAATTAGACGATACATAAGATTAGTCCATTGTCCACAACCATGGGCAAGATTTGGTGCTGATACGAATCTGATAATGAAATTAAAAATAATTCAATGGTTTAACAACCAACTGGAGAGAAATATGTGATAAAAATATATTATTATTATCATATAATTTATTTAATATACTTTATTTATATAGTTTTCATATAATTGTATAAGAGACGTTGGCGTTCTTGGCGTCACTATTGATAATGCTACTTTAAAATGATCTTTCGTAACAATAGCAGCGTCTAAGTTCTCTTCGAGCGAATTCATTGCTGCTTCGTGACATATTGCTTGAATTTCAGCTCCTGAATAACCTTCAGTAAGCTCAACTAAATCCAGTATATTTACATCTTCTGCGATTGGCATTTTTTTGAGCTTTATTTCAAAGATTTCTTGTCTCGTCTGACAATCTGGTAATTTAACGTAAATTATTCTATCTAAACGACCAGGACGAAGAAGAGCCTGATAAAATGAATGATGCATTAGTTAAAAATATTTGAATGAAATATAGATTGCATATCAAATACAAACTTTGTCTATTTTATCAGGACGATTCGTGGCTGCTACTAATGTAACATTTCCTAAAGCAGTGATGCCATCTAATTCTGTAAGTAGTTGAGCTAAGACCCGTTGTTCAACGTTACTTCCATTACTACCCGATGAAGATCCTCTTTCTCCCCCAAGGGCATCGATTTCATCTATAAAAATGATAGAGGGTGCAACCTGTCGAGCCTTATGAAAAACATCACGTACAGCTTTCTCGGATTCACCAACCCACTTTGAGAATAGTTCTGGACCCTATAAATAGTAGCAATTGTATTTAATATGTCATAATAAAAGAAAATATTTATTGTTAAGTAGATTACCCTGATATTTAAAAAATTGACTTTGCTTTCTGTAGCAAGAGCTTTGGCGATCATGGTTTTGGAACAACCGGGTGGACCGAACATAAGCACTCCTCTAGGCGGGGTAATTCCCATTCTAGTGAATGCTTCAGGATATCTCAAAGGCCACTCAATGGATTGTTTTAATTTTAATTTTAATTCTCTTTGTCCACCTATATCCGACCATCTAACCATAGGAACTTCAACCAAAATTTCTTTCATTGCAGATGGTTTAGTTACAGTTAAAGCTTTATTAAAATCATCTATTGTTACATTTATTTCATAGTTTGTTTTAGAATCGATAACATTAATAGAATGCTGACGTTTAACAGCAGCCATCAATGCATGCGAACACAAGCCATATATGTCAGCACCAACAAATCCATGAGTGGAAAAAGATATATTTATTAAATCTTGTTGTAACAAAGTATTTGGTATTCTTTTGAGTAACTTTGATAATATTTCTAAGCGTGTACTTTGAAGAGGTACATAAACTTCAAATTCTTTATCTATTCTTCCAGGTCTTCTTAAAGACGCATCTACAAATTCAATTTTCGATGTGGTAGCTATTATAATAATATTATCTTTTGTATTTTGTAATTCATCGAAAAGTGATTTTATCGTAGCAAGAACTCTTCTTCCCTGATCTGTACTTGAGCTACTCCTCTTTGGACATAATGTATCGATATCTTCCAAAAGTATTATACATGGAGTATTATCTTTTGCTTCAGTAAAAATGTCTTTCAGCTTCCTTTCAGCTTCATCCATAGATTTACTATAAATGTCTGAACTGTGAACATTAAAAGAGTTGATGTTGTACTCTGATATAATAGCATTAGCGATCATAGATTTGCCAACTCCAGGAGTACCATAAAGTAAAATTCCTTTGCCGAAAAAAAAATCACCAATATTACATTTATTTAATGCAATATCCATTACATCTTTTATATCTGCTATTAAATCATTATATCCTCCTATATCTTCTATTTTATACTTTACTTTTTTCTGTTCTTCCTCAGTTATTGATACATCGTTCTGAATGATATATTTTGTAGAATACAAAGCCTTGTAATATTTAACATTGGATTTATCTGTAGTTAAATGCAAACAATTGAAAGACGTTAATAAATCGTCATCTATGTGTGTTGTGTCATCATTCTGATCTATTGAAGCTGCTACGATTACGTATATCAATTTTCTTCCATAGTAGGAGATGCTTATCCTATTCCCAATACAAAATATTTTGCCTTCATTAGAGTTTTTGAAAAGTATCTCCAAATCGGTAGACATATACAATAATGCGTGTTTCCCAGTACACTTGACAATAATTTCCTTAGCCGCATATATATTGACCTTTGCACTTTGTACTTTAATTAAATCTTTTAAGTTGTTTAGTTCAATAGCTAAAAACATTGAGCGATTATGTATCATATCTCTTCAATAATATAAATAAATTTAACATAAAGATATAACTTACTAGATTTAGGTAAAGAAACGCTCAATAATGATTTGTCATTGGCAAGCCAAGCTATTTTAACAATAATGCTATTTTTTGTCGCAATAATAACAGGATCTGCTATGGCAATATTGCATAGCTGCATTACAGTCTGTGATAGAAAGACCATGTCGTTTAAATCTTGTGCAGATATATTTGTTGGCGCTGATCAAACAAGGTATTAACTTAAAAATATAAAGTCATATTAAATAAGCGTAATCAATGATATATATATATATATATATGTACCTGGAGCCTTATAAATTTCTAATGTACTATGTAAAGTATCATTGAAAATAAAGCTGTGGTTCCAATTGTCAAAGGAAGGTGGGCAGTTAGATTCATGTAATGTTACATCATTTTGACCATAAATGCACTGACATTTCTCACATGTCGTTAATGATGATAAACTTTTTCTAACTTTAGGTGACATTCTAAAATAAAATAACAGTTACAAATTTATTCCATCAATTTTTAATAACAATTTTATGCGAAGAAAAATAAATTGATAATTAACATCTTCGATATAACCTAAAAGAAGAACAAACAAATTTCAATTGAATCAAAGATACATGAAAAGAATGAAAAAAGTTTTATTGATATAATTAGCTTGTATTATTTATAAAAAATAAAAAAATAAAAAATGCTTTAATCGATCATTAGAAAAAAAATATTTCAATAAATTACATGTGAGTATTTAGCATTTATAATCCAGCGTGGTACAGCGAATCGTCGGTAATGTAGATTACTAGAAACAAATTTTTTTTATATGAGTATATTTAAGTATTATTTTATTTTATTGTCGATAATTAATAATAATAATTATCTAANNNACACACATACAGAGATAGTATATAGTAGAGATCTGTTCGACGAATACACGAAGAAATGACATAAGAAATTCTGAACGTACCTAACGTATATACATATATGTAATACTTATATATATATATATATATATATATAACAAATATAATAAATTATTTTTATTTATAGGAAATACACGCTATGGTTTCATAAAATTTATTTGAAATAAAAAATACAATAAAAATATAGACTTTTAACGAATATTTTAACAGATGGATCCGAGCCTGAGGACGAATCTGACAATGAGATTGATGCGGTGATTTATAAGTAACGATAATGACTCGGAATTATTCTTTGCGGTGATACTGAAGGGGTGTTAATGAGTCGAGAACGTTAAGAAGTCCCTTGATGCAATCAACAATGATGATGCAGCCGGTCAAGGCATTGGTGGTAAATTACGCTGAAGGAGAGAAGGTGATTTAACAAAAAAAGAAACGTGATAGAATGACCAAACGAATAATCTTTTCGTGTTTGTTCTTTTTGTATACCTTCATTGCATTAGTGTCGACGGTAAAAAAAAAAAAAAAAAAAAAAAAATTTGTGAACAAATAAATTTCACGAAAAAAACGTCTTTGCAAAATTTTCTTTTTCTTAATAATTTTGTAACATATTATAATTTTGAATATGATTAATTAATATGAAAACTATTTTGCTGACGTTCTACAGAGTAAATGAAAACATTAGGAAACATGCTATTAAATTTAAAGTAAAATATAAAAGCGGTTTAAATTGATCATTCTAACTGATCACTTAAAATTTAATGCAATTTCTAATTGAAAATATTTTGTAGAGTTATAAAAAATGTCGATCTATCAAGAACGCTCCCTCTATAGTTGTAATTACCAAAAATTCCATTTCTTAATTAAATTTTGTTGCGACAAATACTTACTTATTGTTAAACTCACAGTTAAACAATATCGTTCATTTGAATTTAGAGAAATCTTTAAATCGATCATAAATTAATATCGGAGATATACATTGTTTCAAATGTAAAAAATGTTCATCTATAAACATGATGATGACACGAGAAGAAAATCAGGTAAAACAATAATTATGTAAAATTGGAGTTAACCAATTGTGATGTTTAAACGGTTTGGTTTCATGACTTCCGTCAACTGTATATGTGAATATTAACGATATTGATATAAAATCTATACGTCATTGTAGATGTAAAATAACTGATTTGGTCGGATGTGTAAGATAAGAACAGACAGATAGGCAAGCAAGCAAGCAAGCAAGCAAGCAAGCAAGCAAGCAAGCAGGCAGGCAGGCAAGCAAGTGGCCAAGCAAGTGGGCAAGCAAGTGGGCAGGCAAGCGGGCAAGCAAGCGAGCAGGTTCAGCTAAATGATCTCGGAGTGATTGCCGGCAAAGTCGGCAAAGGCAAAGTGATGGACGGCTCATCAGGAGGCCCCCGACGTTCCGTACCAAACGAGATTAATAGAGATCCGGCTGTCAGCCGGACGCCTCACCGTCTGAGCGAGATCTGAGCTGGTAGCACCAACCAGACGGCCAGTCTTCCCGCAGATCGCAACCTGCGTGGGCAAGAACCGATATCGTGATCGATCGTACGGTCTAAGTCTTCTTTGAGCAATTCATTTCCTAGGCTAGTCCGCGTGTTACAAAAACGTTTTATCCTCTAGTCACTTCAGCAAATATTTCTAATGAGATAACGACAGTGATAATTACACGTTATAGTTGATTAACCTGATAACTAGATTAGAGAGAAGGAGAGAGGGGTAGAGAGAGAGAGAGAGAGAGAGAGAGAGAGAGAGAGAGAGAGAAAGAACAAATACAAAATTATAGTTTATCAATTGTATCGTAGAATTTGGTTTGTTCTTTTTTTTCTTTATAAATAAAGGTCCATCTTTATTTTCGTACCGATGCGAATGCAAAGCACGAGGGGATGGTGGAGCGTCCTCGGCAGTTTTGCTCTGATTTTTCTCGCCAATATACGATTAGGTAGGCTATCCACACTAGCAGGTTGTGCGACAACGTAATAACTATTTCTTGTTAAAGAATTTGTCTATCTTTTTTTTTTCTATTTCATCTAAATCACACAGAGAAAATCTATTATAATTGATTGCAATATAGTTTCTTACTAGTAACTATTTATTTCTTAACGATTAAAGATTGATACTGATAGTTTTGAAATGAATCAATTAATTTCGAAAAAATTCGTTTGTTTTGTAGCTTTCAGCGAGAAGGATTTGGCGGGAAAAGCTCATACGGAGGAAATACGGCAACATCTTTGCTGTGCAAGGCATGAGAAACTGATCGACGTCGGTTATGGTAAGTTATATTTGATTAATATTACTTTTAATTTACATTTTATAAATGAAAATTATGCGGAAAATGGACATATATCGCGTTAACATTACGTAAGCAATTCCTTAGCGAAAAAAAAGTAAAAAGTGGGTTGCATAATGCATCATGGGCTCGTTCGTCGTTAGAAAATATGACCTTGTCTTCGTTGGACACCATCGAGCAAAATTATTATTGGGTGTTCAATCAATTGACGCCCGGTGTCGATGTCGAGGGTGATGGAACGTCCGGTATTTTCGCATAACACATATACACATACGAGCACACATCATCACTAATTCGTGATTTAGAATGCCGGCTCGTTTCGACGACCAGAATTTCTTATCGGCGGATCGCTTTGACCATATATTAATCATAAGAATATTCCTCTTCTTCGATTCATTGACCGTAATAAAATCTTGCGGACCTCGAGAGATATCAACTTGAGAAATGAGTTCGTATGTAAGAGATTGAGAATGAAGGGATTAATATTTCGTGGAAGTGTTATTTGTGGGTTCACTAAATTGCCGACAATATATCATAGTTAAACACATACGTCAGTAGATTTATTTGAAAAATGAATGTAACTCTAGTGCAGTTATTAATTTAAGAGGAAATTTTATATAAGCATTTGCTTGTATATATTTTTTTACGATTTCATAATTAAATCGTAGAAAAATAAATCGATAGAACAAATTTTTTCTCTCTCACCCTGTTGACTATTTAATTTAATTTTATAAGAACCTATCATTGTTAATTCTTACGATTTATTTCATTTAAGACTCTGTTTATATGACATCATTTACATCACATTTATAATAAAACTTTAATTTTTATTCATGATATTGAATTATAATATACGTAAAAGGACAATTTTTAGCAATCAGAAAATAAATTCCAATAATATTTGTGGTTGTAGAATAAATAAATGCAAAGTATTACAAAATTTTCGAATTATATATTAAAAATACAGTAGTCACAGTACTTCCTAATCTCCATATAGATATGTCAATATAGAATATTCAATGGATATTTCAATATTTATAAAATTATGTCTAAATATATATTTATGATTTTTATGTTCGTTCTCTTCAGAGTATTAATGCATTTAATTATTTTTAGGAATATCTGGAGAAGTTATACAAATTGATATCGGACATTGTCGAAAGCTCTGTCCTCGACATGTTTCCGACGATCCCGGCGATGCTAGCAAACCGGCTGTTCAGGTAAATATTTTCAATCAAACCAGGAAACATTTTTTAACGTAAATCAAGAAAACGCAGGAAAATTAGTTGATACAAAAATGATTTGAAAAATTATTTAATTTAATTTTTAAAATATCTACAATTTGCTTTGAAACAATCTTTTAAAAACATATTTACAGTAAGAACACTCCTAATATTTAATTTACTATAAAATAATGAAATTAATTTCATCTATGATTCGTGATTGAAATCTTATCAACATCTTAAACGAAATGTTATTAAATGCTATCTTAAGAATATATTTAATAAAAGTCTAATAAAATGAGGATCAAGGGATGATAATGGAGATGTTATGGGAAAGACTTAGAACAAAAATAAAAGAGATTTTAGGTGCATATTGAAGCAGGAATGCAGCAGCATTCGGGAGGGCCTACGTGACTATGCGTAATCTGTGACTCATATTAGCGGGATGCACCAGGTGCAAAAACACTGTGCGGCTGATTGCCGCATCAGGTTCCATACGAACAAAAAGCCCATCCTGCCGGATTGAAGTTTATCGAACCGGTCCATGAGTCTCATTCGAATTCCACGCTCTGGATTCTTATGGTTGTTTGAAAATGGAGAATGCCAGGGCAACTTTGTTTGAAAATAAATCAGAAAATTGCAAAAGAAAAGAAAAGAAAATAAAGGAAAAGAAAAAAATAATGTCGGCAATTAGGTGGTCATTGAACTCGCCAAAAAACCAGACAAATTCAACAAATTTCAACAATAAGTGATCCTATAAGGTCAGAACTACGCTTATCGAAAGCCTCATCCGATAAGAAAATATTTTGAAGATTTTTTTAATACTAAAAATAATCGAAAATGTATAAATGATCAGAATAATACTATAAGTATATCTGCACGCGTACGATGAAAAATTTTTAAAATATTTTAGACAATCTAAATACGTTTTCAATAATGATAAATGTGCATGTTGACTTATAAAATGAATTTAAACAATACCTATATGATTATTTCGTCCTTGAATGAGTTTTACAATAATTTGTGGTTATTTTCAAATAATTATAATTTGACAATCAGTGAAATATAGAATCGTTTGAATTTACGATCTTGTATTTCTATAAATCAAAGTACAAAGACAGAGAAGAAAAAAGAAAAATAGAAACCTGATTACAGCGTGCAGTACAAGCAGATATATTTCAAAGTTCGGTTTCGAAAGAATTTTGATATTGAGAGGAGTATATATGGTTTGAGAGTCCAGTAATATCGGCCGATTATGCCAAGGGCCATGAAGGGTTAAGAAAGGACTGGAACATATTGCAGATTTATGACGCATGAGTTTGACCAATCCAGAAGCTGGAATGTGGCCACGCCAGATATCGCGCGATCGAACAATCTGCACGATTCTACCAACAGCTCACACCATACGTTTGATGGGGTTTTTTAACTATACAAAAAATTATTCATCTTTTTATTCTAAAGAAACAGAACAATTTGAAAAAAAAATTAATACAGTAGAAAAATGTAGAAAGTAATGTAGATAATATACAGATAAATGATATTTTTCAACGAAATAGTAATTAATGACAAAAGAAAATATTAAACATTACAAAAATAATATTGAAACATTATTTTTTGTTTTTTTTTTTTTTCTTAAAAATGAAATATAATATAATTAATCATGTCGGTCGCGCGGTAAGGTAGTTTACCTTAAAGTTATCGTGCATATTAAAAATACATAATAAAACATATATTGAAAATGATAATATATTGTATTATCATTAGTGTATTTAATTAATATATATTATTATTTAAATTTGATACGCGCGTGCACGTATAGAATAATTTTATTTTATATGTATCTTCTTTTAAGTCGATTGTAAAGTTATTTTATAATGATTTAACATTAATATTAAAAAAAAAAAAAATGGTAAGGATTCATCGTTGATACTACAAAATGATCTATGCTTTTCGTTATTATAATGTTTAAAAGTAATTTTCTATTATTTATTAATAGAGTAATAGAGAAAAAATAATGAGAAACTTTTGGTATATGTTTGAGTTCAATATGAGAAGATCCGAAGAAATAGATCCTGTTCAGAGGATGAGTATTTGGAGTGTTCCTTCGCGTATCGCTTCCTTGCTTGGGTGGAGGAGGTTATTTTCGTCACGTAATGCAATCCGATTGGTGTATTTACGATCTTGCAGCTCACCCACGCTTCTCTCCAGGAGTGAGAAACAAGTTGAGAAGATGATGGTGTTGCACGCGATATGCAAAGGAGAAGAGAGAGGAGAGGAAAGAGGGCTGCTTGAGGACGATGTGTTTTGCGTCCTTGGAAGGTCGAATCGTCTTGGGTCAGCAAACGTGGGCGCCAGCCTGTCCACATACTAAATCCCAAGAATCACGTTCCTTTAAGATCCAGGAGGGCAAATGATCCATATGAAAAATAATATATTCGATCTATCCTTAAGAAATTATTATAATATCCCTAAGAGAAAGAAAACACACAAATAATTATTCAATCTATTTTCATATTATAAGGAATATGAAAAGAGTGATTAACATGTAACGTGATTAACATGTAACGTGATTAACATGTTACGTGATTAACATGATACGTTTACACGAACCAAGAGTTTTATTATCAGTATTTTTCAATTCCTTAAGATCTCTCTGGATGGATGATTTAAATTTATATTTTTGATGATATATTGTTAGAGAAAAAAAATATTTGTTGTAATATTTGTAGAGATGTTCGCAAGATGGTCACTGTCGGCCAAGGGCTGCTAGACTGGAAAGAGTATCCACATTGCAGGGAGTTCGTATTATCGAGGCTGTTGATGCTTGCGATTGTTCTTCAGATTCCTCTTGTAAAAGAGAATCCTATACGCATCTTTTACATTCTGGTACACCGTATCAGGTCATTATCGATGTTGGGGTTTGCATAGGACATTGCGGCAAAGGTATTGTCAATTATTTATCAAATATTTATCAAGAATAATATTTGCTTGGCGGTTGGAAAATAATTATATAGGATTTCTCTCCAATGAATTTGAAATAATTTAATTATTTTGAAATTCGTGTATACCATTTGTTTCTATTGTATAAAATGGCACGAAATTTCTTGGTATACACCGGATAACAGAAAAATATTATTACATTCAATTTGACATTTAAAAGTGATGATTATTATTGCACCAATCTAATTAAATTATAATATATTTTATTCAAATAATCATAATATTATTTATATATATGTTTTGTTTGTTGTTTTTTTTAAGATCTTGGTTGCAAACCTACAAGAAATAACACAGTCAGCGTTAAAGGACCAAATGGTAAATAAAATATAAACGAAGTATCATTGGAAATTCTAATGTAAATAATATTTAAAAAATGTTTATGTTTTCAAGGAGACGAAGTGTATCCAGTTATTGAGAAATGCAGTTGCGTCGGTAATTGTCATCGAATGGATCATATGGAAAAAGTGTTGGATTTCAGTGAAGTTGAGATTAAAGAGGGTACCAATACGACCGACGTCAAACCTATAATCAGAGTAAGTGGTATGAAATAAATTTTCAAAGGATTGTTCAATTGATCTTAAGACGATATTTGTTCTGATTGTATTTCTCCAGGAAATCAATGTTGGTCAATGTGTTGGAGGTTGTCCTGGAAACGAAACAGAAACTTGCATTTTACGTGACAAACGAGACCCAGCCAGATGTTTAGCTGGTCTTTATTCCAAACAACATACTTGCACACCTGCGAGATTCAAAGTTCACGAATACAGGTACGATCATTTGTATGTTTTAAATATAAACATATTTTTATTGGATAAAAATATATATTTGAAAAAGAAAATAGTATAACACGATAAACGTTCTTTTAGAACTCGACGAGGATCGAAACGCGAAGTGATACAAATAACGGAATGCATTTGCGTATAATCATCGTTGAAAAAGATGCCAATTTTTTGATCAACAAGAAAAAATAAGAATCGGAGACGAAGATGTTCTTAGGATAGATAATATCCTTTTACGTTTAGCGAATGAACGAGATGTTAAGATCCATCTAATTTTATTTTTTATTTTTTATTTCATTTTATTTTAGATCTCTATCATTTAGTTACGTGGCTAATAAATTTTGTAATGTCTTCTTTTCTAAAGAGAATTCATTCATTAAATTCACTACTTTAATTGGCAGGATGTTTATTGTCCTTGCGTATAATAGTTGTAATGATGTATAGGTTAAATCATCAAATAATAATGAATTATTTTCAAATAAATTTTGGAAATTTTTTGATCTAACAATATGAAATGTTATATCCTTATATCATACCGAACGTATAATAATATACATATAAATATATTTAAAAATATACAAATATATATAAATAACAGAATAGACAATTTTATACGTGTAAAACTAATTAATGAAAAAAAGTAGTCAATTTTTAGGACACAATCTAATAGATTATTAATATTATAAAATATCTAAATCGTAATATAAAGATAAGTAACTTAATTGTTACCTCTGAATTCAAATGTTAGGATATCTTATATTTTATATATATATACGTACTTACTTGTTTAGCATGAGTTCTCGTCGCATACGTTATTCCCAAGCAATGCAGTTAGAAGTAAAAGACCGAAACTAAATGAAATTCGAGGCGACAGTCTCGATACGCGAGGAAAGAAAACGTGGGCGAACGGTTCATAAAAATACGCTCGTGACTTGTGATCAGTCATCGCCCTCGTATTAAAATAAAAAAAAATAAAATAAAATAAAAAAGAAAAAGACAAGCAGAAGAAGAAGAAGAAGAAGAAGAAGAAGAAGAAGAAGAAGAAGAAGAAGAAGAAGAAGAAGAAGAAGACGAAGAAGAAGAAGAAGAAGAGACCAACGAATTATCTAAAACGTTCATCCACCTAAATATCGTGTCGCGGGCATAGCTCGATGCTTACGAATCCGTAGAATTTAGGAAACGTCGTGCTTTTTATAATAGCTCGGCACTGTCATCATCGCTTTGCCATTTCTATCGTCTCAATAACACACACACACACACAAATAATATATAGAAAGAGAGAGTAAGAGAAGGGGTGTCTCAAAAGTCACTTTACCGAGAACAGAAAAGTACAAAACAAAAAAAAAGATCGTTATTACTTTATTAATAGATTGAAAATATTTTCTTTTCTTCTTTCAAACATAAATTTTCACAATGTTGATAAGAAAGTTTGGGGCCTACAATACCGTTCCTTCCAAATTTCTGGAAAACAAATATTTATCATTTATCTGCTAGATAAATCAACTCTTAGGACTACAAATAATTAATTTGTTTTTATGAGAGATATTATTTAAAATTCATACAAACAAAATGATTTGATGGCAATAACACATAAGAGTAATAGTTTGACGAAAGTGTATAAAACTAAATTGTTTTCTACAGATTTTTAAAAAGAGTAGATTAAAATGAGAGGAAATATTAAAGATGAACTAAATTTGTACTTAAAATTGATCAACTTCTTTTTATAAAAATAATAATAATAGTAAGAGAGAAGTAAACAAATTGGAAGTATTTTTCGAGATATTTTAGCATAAAGATGAAAAAAATAAAGATATAGAAATATTGTTTTGACAGTGGGTTAAAGGGTCAAGGTGTGTTGCCGTTGTTGACAATTATGCGGAGGACAAGTTAAGGACTTGGATATGGCTCTGTATATATAAATGCGTATGTGTGTATAAGAAAGAGAAGCGCCAATGTCGAGCGGGGAGTAATGCGGGGGAAGGAACAACTCCCGGCATAGCATAAAGGTGACTCCTCGCAGCGAAAACCTCCCATATGCCACTTAGCGTCCCGTTGAGTTCGGCAAAGTGTCCGGTGAAGCAAAGCTATCCGTTCTTTTTTTCGAACGAGACTAACAGAAAAGCAACACGGTGTATTTTCATATTTCTTCCTTGTTTCGTAATCAATCTAGAGGTGTCCAATTCGGGATTATTTGTTGTATCACATATACACGTATAATCAAATATTATTTAAGGGTGAGTCATTTGTATAGAAACATCGAAACATCTTCGTTGTACGAAAATGTTGATTTCTTTTTTATTTACCGATCAATCTGATTATTATAATAATTATAATAATAATGATAATTAGAAAAAACACACAAAAATTTCTATAGATTTATATAAACAACGAAGAATATATTCGAAGAATATTCGAAGAATAGTGTTTCTATCGATATGACTAACATAACATTTTGTGTTACCATTAGAAAGCAGATTTGTCGCCCCGAAGATCGAAAGCCAACTGTTCGAAAGGATACATTTAGTTGTTCATGTTTACCACTTCGAAGATATCATATCTGTTTATAGCTAAGGGATTTCTTGTTTGTTTCTAATCAAACTTAAGACGTATCGATGAAGACGCGAAGTGCATTGTTGCTATTGTTAGTGATACCAATGATGTCATTGTCAATGCATCTTTCTCCCAGAGAGAAAGACACATATCCCTCAGATATATTTAAGGATAACGATCAAAATTTGGAGAGGACGGAGGAGGGGTTAACTTTGTCTTTCAGTAAACCCAATGAAGGAAACGAGAATGGTAACGAGAATGGTAACGAGAATGGTAACGAGAATGGTAACGAGAATGGTAACGAGAAAAAACGAGAAGACGAATTGGAAAAGTTGAAAAAGGTCCGTCTTGATTTATAACGTTCTTTCTTTTTTTTTTTTGTTTTTTTTTTTTTTTTTTTTTTTTTATTTACATCATTGAGAAGTAATTTGGTTAAAAAAGACGAATGCGCCCGTATGTGAGTACGTGAAATTTGGCGATGAAAATATTGATGAAAATTATTATAAAATTACAGATCTTTGGTATTCGTGGCCAGGGTGATAAATTGGCTCATCATAAAGTGCCACCCCAGTTCATGATGGAACTGTACAATACTATTGCCGATGAGAGTGGTGTCACACGAGGACGAAACCCTTATAACGCTAAAGTCGTACGGAGTTTCATTGAAAAGGGTAAATTGCTTTATTTAACACGATGATCCTTCTCATATATCCAGTAATAACATTATTTTATTTTTATTTTAAAAAATTTATTAATTTAATCCACACTGTCTCATATAATTAATTAATATAATAATATATATTATAGATAATTATATTTTTATGGAATTGGTGCATACTTGAACAAAATATTTCTGCTTTTAATCCCCCAATTTGTACTGCCTAATTTTTTTCCACGTGATAATTTGCATAGAAAAAACATAGTAATTAATTATTTCTGTTTCGTAGATACCTCCTTGTCTTATTTTTATTTCTTTAACGTGTCCGGCCTGGAAGTAAATGAGTCGGTTTTGGAAGCCGAATTACATCTTTACAGAAAGAAAATAGTCGCGAAAACGGAGCCGCCAGCAACGCTTACGTCGTCATATTATTTGGTAAGTGTCGAAGAAAACTAACGATTTTCCTTGTTTGATCTTCACGTTTTACAAGATAATCACTTGTTATCAGTTAAGAGTCTATCAAGTATTGGATGAGAGAAATCTGGCTGAACCGAGTCGTCACAAGTTGCTCAATATTCATTATGTTGAGGCACATACTTTTGGTTGGCAGGTAAGTGACCTCTCTCTTCGAAAACAGTAAAAAAAAAAAGGAATTGATTAAATTCAAATACATGAATTAATTGAAAAGTTTTGAGCTCTGCATAAAAACAAATTTTTCGTACGATCAAATTCATTTTTATTTTGAAAACAAATTTTGTTGAGACTCAAAACTTCGAACAACCTTCTCCAAGTGCTTACCCCACTTTTGTTTTTCTTCTAAACCGAAATCTTCCTAACCAATTGAAATTGAATAGACATAAGAAGAGAAAACAAAATCTATTATGGTTAAAATGATGAAAAAGACAATGATAACGTAACTGTATACAGGTGTTAAACGTCAAGGAAGCGGTACTGTCCTGGGTGAATAGCGATCGAAATCTCGGTCTATTGGTAACAGTTACGACTTTATTCGACGACGAGGTGAATGTCGAGTTTTTTCGGCGAAGTGAATCTCGGCACAACAAACAACCGATTTTGGTTCTCTTTAACGACGACGGTAAAGAGAGGCGATCTGGAATGAAAATCGTTCCGGAGTACTACACGTATGGAAAGAACGATGATATACGTTTCGCTGATGAACAGATAGAAGAGAAGGGCGAGTTGGAAGATCCTTTGTTGGTACAGAGACACGAGAAGGAAACATTCACGAGAAAGAAGAGGAAACACAAAGGGCCCGAATCAATTTGGCGGGAAGATTCCATGGAACGTGATAGACGAGATACAAATTACATTAGAAAATGTCCTAAGAAAATAGTCTCACATAGGACGAAAAGGAGACAAGTTTTAACCTCAATGGAAATTTACGAGAGAGCCATGTTGCGCGAGAAATTAAGTGAAGTATCCGAGAAAGATAATACGAATGAACGCAGAGAAAGAAGATTAACGAAGAGACAGAGTCCCATATGGAGACACAGAAACACGACCGCCTGTTCGAGATACGAGCTTTACGTTGATTTTACGGAAATTGGGCTTTCTTCCTCTATAATTGCACCCAAAGGATACTCCGCTTATCACTGCAAGGGTCTTTGCCAGTCACCGTTGAGTCAAGAACAACAACCAACAAATCATGCCACTGTACAAGGTATCGTTCATTCATTGGGTTTGGTGGATGGCGTTGAAATGCCTTCTTGTGTACCCACGAAATTGCTCAGTACTACCATACTTTTCTATGACGATAACGAGAACGTTATTTTAAAAACGTACGAGGATATGGTTGCCGATCGTTGTGGTTGTCATTAGTTTAATCGAGCTGGATGTTCTTTAATTCTTCTCTGAAATTCTTAGATTTTTGTCCTGAAATCAGTTCAGGTTAACGGGACGCAAACACAAATCGAATGATCGTACAAACTACTTGTGAGTGTTATTCGGAATTTACGAAAAATGATGTCTAACATAAGAGAATTAAGATTAAGTGCTATCATTTTTCAGGGCTTTTCGTTGGGTATTCCGAGTTGAAAGTTTTAAGATAAATATGGTTATTATGATGATTATATTAAAAGATGTTTATTATTTCTACAATGTGTCGAGAGTTATATATTCGTATTGATCGTTTTAAGTCGATCAAATTTTGTCTGTAAATAAGAACATTCCCATGAACGCGTTAACATGCGAGCAAATGTCTACACGCACGCACGCATGCACGCATGCACGCACGCACGCACGCACGCACGCACATACTGTAATGTAATCCATTGTAATTGTTATAACGTGTATCACTGTAAATTATTATAATCATAATTCGTAGATATTAATGATGAGATTTAATTTGTATATATATATATAAATATCTCGTGATAACTGCATTAGGGCATAATTTATAGCTATACAATATATAATAAATGATATTTAAACAAACAATCATTATTATTATTATTATTATTTTGTATTAATATTTCTTTGTTCGTTTCGATTCTCTCAAAAAATGATCCAAAGTAACGAATCTTCAAACTCGTACATTTCTAAAACGTAGGAGGACATATTTATTGTCTGCTATCAAAGGAGCGTCCCAAAATCAAACGCTTCTCTCTCTTCCAACTCCGCGGAATGTTTTCGTGAAGACGAAAACGATGAAATCTACGCTGAAATTTATAATCCCGACGTTAAAATATATGTCGACATTTATTGGTGCTGTTGACGGTGAGTTTGGCGCCGGTGGATTGCAGAAATGCAGTCGCGGAATGTGAAACGCTACCGGTGTTGAACACACTTCTAAGAGTACGTTATGGTAAACAAAAGTTAAGGGTGGCCGGCCTTTTTTTTTTTTTCAAGTACTTATTTCATATTTATTGGAACCACTTCATACATTAATTATCAGCTTTAACAATTTTTTCTCATTATTTTCTTATAGATTATTTTATAATTGTACATATACAAGTTTAAATACTTTGACTAACATCGGTTTCATTTTCAAAAATTTATTTACTAACAATTGTGAAACCTATTGATTTAACTTATAAAATATTAACAATGGAATAAACAAGTTCTTCCACAAATATGATCATTGATATATGAAATATAATATCTCACTTATCCTCGGAAGACATCTTGGATAATTCAATCATTCTCGTTTTGTTACTGTGTAAACAAATTATATATTTCAAAAGAAAAGAAATACTCCTGAGGAAGATTTTTATTACCATAGCCGTATGATTCCAATACAATTACCGTCTGTATCATGGAATATTCGCCCGCTGTGCGAGTGCAAAAATTTCGAAAATTAGGTATACTTACTATTACGTATCATAGTATATCATTTTCAATAAAAATAAAAACATCGTATTATCTTCTCGTTTGTTTTACTTATTTTTATATATTTGCGATCAAAGGGTACGATTAAAATCAGAGGTGGACCGTTAACTTCGGAGCCCAGTTAACCTAAATTAACCCACATTTGGGTTAACTCATTCATCTCATTTTGTCAAAAAACATTTATTTTCTTCGATTTTTAATTTAAATTCTTTTTCTTTTTTATACCATGGGTCCTAAAAATAATATTTAAATAATTTCACTCCTTGTTTGGTCTTAACATTAATAAAATGTATATTATTGTATATTGTGGATTATAAAAGAAATGGAAGGGAGAGGGAAGGGTATTCACGTATAAGTAGAAGACACCTTATCGATTTTCGATAGCAGCATTTACATATCTGTTAGATGTCCGCGTGCCGGTCTTTCACTGCATTCCCGTACACGCATCTTCTTCGGATATATTTAATTCAGGGTGGGTGTATTTTCGAATCTGTTCGACTAAAAATAACTGGAACGTGTTTCACTGCATTCCATTCATGTTGTGGATTTCAATTCTGACGCCGTAATATGTATTGATTTACGATACGGCTTTACGCGAACTTTCGCGCTCAAAAAGATAACATACTGATGACTTTTTCTACTAAACTTTTACCCATAAAACATTAATTAATCAAATACTAGATCATTAAAGTATAATAATAATCGCTATCATCCATTATAAGGGATCAATGAACGACTGCTTAACGCATGATTATTTTGAATTAGTATGAAAAATATTTCATGGAGTTTTTTTCTACAAATTTGGAAACATACATTTGCATCATATATTACATTATATATACACGCAATTGTCCTGGCAATTGTCACCAGAGCTCATATATGCATTTTGTCATTTTTTATTATCATTGTGAGCGAAACGTGGCCAATTGACGATCATTTTGATGCAAATAGCTTGATGAATTATAGAATAAAAAATCTATGTTGTGATAATAGAAGGTAAAATTTGTTTAAATTATAAGGTAAATTGTTCATATTTCCATATAATGCAAATCGGTTGATAAGATACAAGGAATAATTATGTTCGAGATGAAACGTAAAATCAAATTTTAAACAGTAGGAAATAACAAAAATATGTTTGTTTTTTTTAACTGGAGGATGAAATGAAAGAGGTAAGCCGCGATACGCCTTAATAGAAGCTCTACAATGACGTAGGATTCTGTCATTCGGCGTGTTAGTTCTCCAAGCGTTTCACCTCGCCGCCACTGGCCCATTATAGTGGGACAGAACTTCACCGATTCACAACTATACACATAGTGGTGTGCGCCTTAGGACGGTCAGCGCCGCGTTTTCTACCCGCTCTTATTCTTCTCTTCTCTTCCAAATTCCATCTCTTTCGTCATATCGATAAGATAAATGTGTGTGCGCGCATCTTACGTTTTTTTATTTTTCATTACAAGAAGATTAACCGACGAACTTTCGATTTCTAAATTTTACGATTTACTCTGGCGCTTCCATTTTTCATTTTTCTATTGTTTCTCTTTTTTTTTTTTTTTTTTTTTTCAAAAAGGACTTAAACAAAGAATCTAATTTGGTGAATCAAAAGAGTAATGAGAGTACATGAAAGATATTTTATTCCAAGTGATAAAGCACAATGATCGTCTAACGAATTTAGCGATAGTAATTAATTAAACTAATTTACGCGCGCGCACGTCAAAATTCAAGAAAAAGAAAAGAAAATGAAGCCGTTAAACTTGATACTCATTATACTCTTTGCCATCGATATCATTTTGTCCGTTACAGTTTTACATTATCAGGTAAGTGAAATAAATAAATAAGGTTTGAGAACGTTATCCTTCTTCGATAATAAAGTATTCCTATGAGCTAATATTTATTTTCTTTTTTTTTTGTCTATCATAATACACATATTATCTAGAATATAAGGATAAATATTAATTACTATAATATTCTCTGTTGTTAGTTTCCGTTTAACTTATTGTAACTTATCGTAAACTTATTGTTAGACGGAGTAGGAGTTCTTCCTGGCATCATACAATGGCTACGCCATTGAATGGGCAACGATCGCATAACACGCGGCTTCTCAGAAGTAGAATCTCTCGCATCGTTGAGCGTATCCCATTCCACTCATACCGTTCAAACACATACCGCTAAGTCCCATTTTCTTCTTCGAAGTCCGTAACTCATCTACGAAGTAAACACGGGGTCTTTTCATGTTATGCTCCTCGTTCTACGAAGAAAACAAAAGAAAATTAAAGAATAAATGGTTATTATTAGTGACAGAGATAAAGACTTTTCAATTTGAAAATCATTTATACGGTATTATTTCGTTGAATCGCTAACGAAATCGTCATTTCGAATTAACTTTTCTACTTGGAACAATCAAATTCTTCTATATGTTTTTCAAATGGCTCGGTCGCCATTTTCATTTCCTTTCTCTTTTTTCTATCGGACTTTAAAATATGGTGTCTAAATATTGACGATTATAATGACGATTATAACATTAAAAACTCTTTAATAATGATCTATACGGTGTCAGGCAAAGTTTTCTAATTCAAGAAGGATTTATAATGAAATGACGGCAGCCACTGTCCAATCTTTTCCAAATTCAAATGCGTTAATCTCGTTAAGCGTATCGAAAACCAAGCGAAGGGATAACGACGATGTATCCCAAACGAGGCACGAGGCAAACGAGTATCAGAAACAACGACAACATTGCAAAAATGATCCCACGAGACTTGATTCGTTGCCAAAGGTATTCTGTAATATGTGTTTGAAATAAAAGAAATAAACAATAATATTAGGACAATAATCAAAATAATCATTTTTCTTCAAACTCAATAGCATAGTAATTACTACAACGAGGAATTAAGTTTAGGAACCCATAACAATGCTTCATATGAGCAAGATGATTATCTTTCTATCAAATTAGAAGAAAGCTTACACTTCTATAAGAGATCAATTAAGATTAATTACACTGACAATGAGAGTAATTACACTGAAGATAATTATACCGAGAGTAATAGTAATAATAATAATATTATTGGTGAATACGCTTACAGTAGAAGTTTTTATCCCAATGAAGAAATTTCTAATGCATTTAACAATATATTGACGAAAATATTTCAAAGTTTGACTAACGCATCGCTCGAGGAGAGTGAATCTATGATAAATGGTATGTTTCTTATGCGAGAACGTACGCCAGTGGATCCGTGCGATAGATGGTTAATTAACGAAGACAGACTGAGAGCTGCGTTTATGGGTGAGTATAATTAAGATTAAAATTCAATGCTGTACAAATATTATATATATAAAAAGTTAAATGAAGTACATATCCACATTTCAGAACATCTCGTCGTACTTCCCGGCTGCCCTTGCACATATCCGAATTTCATCTTCTATAACAACCAGATCTGGGATGAAAAGCAAAATAGGCATTATCGTTGGCGAGACGTGAGCACCCCAAACTACCGATTGGATGTTTACAAACCTGGAGCATCCTATTGCGTGCGTACTTTGTTGAGTACAGGAACTATAACTGTTGCGGCTCAACATTGTTGCTACGATAAGAAAAGAAAACTGATAACGCGCGGTTCCGGTGCAGGAATACCATATTACGTTAGTCCAGAAGTATCTATGATTCTTCATGAGAAAATAGACATTTTACCTTGGCGACTTTGTAAAGGAGACTTTTCTAGGTATTTTTATTTGGGAATTTTTTCAAACATTCTCCAATAGGTATCCGTTCTTAACAAAAAAGTACACATGTACGTTGTTTAGATTTAACGAAGTGAGGCCACCGAACAACGATAAAGGTTGTCGTGTAAATCCAAAAAAAAAGGAGTATCAACGACAATTAAACTCTACCAAAGATTTTTGAAGAACTATCATTTTTATGCATGAAGATGAGACCAAGTGGAAATGTTAAATAAATGATATTTTTTTTTTATTTTTAATATTTTTATTTTACAAATATTATTCTAACTTTATTGACTTTGTTACAAAAAAGAAAGAGAAAAATCTTTTAAATACAAATAAAATCTCATTAAGTTGTTAACGAGTATATTATATATATATATATATGTATGTTACCGTTCAAGAGGGAAGAAGAATTGTTACGGATTTTTCTTAGACATTATACATAATACTTAGGTATTCTATAGAATACCAAATGCTATCTAAGCAATATTGAGAAGAATACATTATCGGGCAACAGGCATACACACACAACTCACACAAAAACGAGTATGGAGCGGGTTTTTGTGCACGGGTTTTTGAGATTGCGTGCCGCTATACTATGCGCACTTCTATAAACTGAAACTTACTCAATGCCGGTGTATTACTATGTAGGACCCACTGTTACTTATCGTAGTAGAAGATTATTACAATTAGACCGATATTCATAGAGATTACCATGGAAAATCTATATCTTTTGTTCTTTATCATAGCGGAAGATTAGAGCGAGATTTAGAACGAAATAATTCATTTCTGCTTTCTTACTTTACCGGTTTCTCACTTGTTATTCTACAGAATATCTAGGAAATATGAGAAATATGAATACATTTCTTACATTACTAGGTTTTTTTGTTTGGCATTGTCAACAATGCTTAGACATTTCGATGAATCTCTGATTTCCCACTTGGACGGTAACATATATATACTCTCAAATATTCCCGCCCTTTCTACCTTATCGACATAACGATGCGGTCAGTCGTCATGGTTACCAATTGCAAACACAGGACTGATACTGTCTCAATAATCCTTTTATTTTAAGATAAATATATCATATTTTAAACAACGATGGATTGGGCTACAGATTTAGAAATTACATCGAAGAAGGTACATTCGTTTTAAATAATCGTCATAATTAATAAAAATTTATACATATAGTTGCTAATATTTCTCAACAAATCTGTGTCGACACTATCGTAAAATTAGAGATTTAGAGAGATAAAATTTAACATTTTTTCATAACTTCTAATATATATATATATATATATATATGTTTACAGCTTATACCTAGACTCGGCAGAAGAGCAGGTCAAAATTTTATCCAAGAAGACTCAAAATCAGACGACGATTTGTTAAATAGTCCAATGCCTTTTTCTTCAGGATACCCGACGCAACCACCTGTGGCGCCACCTCGTGCCAGAAAAACTGGTTGGGGTGACGATTTGAAAGGCAGCAAGTTAGTGCTGAAATAAATATTTCTATTTTATTTTAGTATTTTATTCTCCCATATTGAAAAATAATTCGATTGTCAATTATCTAATCTGTTTATCTGTTAATTTAGGACAAAAGCATCTTCTAATATCATCGAACAGTGAGTATTTATAATAAACACAAATCTAGAATCAGACATCTATAGTCACTAACAGATTATTCCTTAGGGATCGATTTCGATCTACGGAAAAAGAGACTCCACCAGATGGTAAGAGTGCAACAAACGTTTGTCAATTTGATTTAATGATCTATTAGATATCATTTGTAATTAAAACATAAATTAATTAGAGTTGTGTTCTTATTATAGATATCCCTGTGATTCCGGATTTAGATGAGATCCAAGAAGACAATGTTGTCTCCGATTTATCAAGCGCACCTATGTGAATACATTTTTCTTACTTTTTCTATTAAATAAATTTTAATTATTCTTTACTTGTATTATATACATTGAACATTCATTTATTAAGTAGGATTGACACAAACAGAGTCACGGCTTATAAAGAATTAGACACGGATTTAATTAAAAACGAAGCATTTACGTCATTGGATGGTATTAGTCTATTTTCTCTTACCGAAAAATTGTATAACGAAAATTTAGTTAAGGAAGCTGACGAAGCTTGGAATTGGAATCTACTGTTCACCCAAGTTGCATCTGAAATAAACAACGAGGCACAGAAAACATGAAATGTTTAAGAACATATTTACGTATGCATATGTATATAAATATAATTGTATCAGTTATTTTTTATACTTGAAATGTAATAAAAATTATTTCCTACACTTTACAAAAATATAGTCAAAAATATTTATTACCAATTATAGTTTAAAAGTACTATGAAATATATATTAATTATATCCTTTTTTATAATTAAACAAAATAAGAAAAAACAAAAACTATGGCATACTGCTTTTCCGCAGTGCCTGTATATGGAAGCGACAAATTACCTCGTCTGACCTATTCGATTACCCCCCAATTTGGAAATCGCGGTAGTTCGAGGAGCGACGTGAAGACTCAACCGTGCAGGCGTGCGTATCCGAGGTCTGTGAAAAAGCACAAGACCACGAACAAGTACGCGCAATCGGGAATCCAACACAAGCTACTTGAAGCGACCACGTGACAACACCCACTGAGCAGATCTGCCACCACTTCTCGACGTTTAGCGATCAATGTTCAGCTGTGCCATCACAAGCACACACTTCCGTGAACCGCATCACTATTAGTTGTATATAAAGAAAAGATACCACTTTAGACTATTAGCGAGAAATTCAAGTATACGATGATTTAGCAGATCCATCTGTCGGCTTTATTACAAAATATCAAATTTCTCCTGCTGCGCATCTTCCATTGGTTCTTTGATATCCCTCTTACAATTAGCGGCAAATTTCAAATGTTCTTTTATTACTAGCGCTATCTTGATCAATTTTCAAACTATCAAAAGGTAGAATTTTATTTGAATGCCTCTCTATTTCTACTCGAAAAAATGTACAATTATCTCGACAAACGTCGAATTAATCCAAATTTCGGCGAAATTTTCTGAAAGAGCTATTTCTTTTGAGCATAATGGGTATCATAAATACGTCTGTAAATAAAGAACAAGATCCTTATTTAATTTCTGAAACGATAGAAATTCCTGACTGCGTACCATGCCCAAATGAAGATGACAAGAAACCTGGTAATCCAGGGAGTTTCGAAGAACTTCATAAAAAAGTGAAGGATCTTTATCCTCAAAATTTTGAGGGCGCAAGATTATTAGTTCAAAAGGTTCTCAGTTCCCATTTCAATGTAACCCACGCGATAACGTTGAGTTCTGTAACTCCTTCGGGATACAAATTTGGCGCATCTTATATTGGAATTAAGGCAGTTGGTTTGCACGAGAAATATCCAATTGTTAAAGGTGATATTATTCCTAATGGAAACATGACGGCTAATTTTGTACATACGCTTGGATGTAGATTTAGATTCAAGTTATTTACACAAGTTGCTAATTGCAAATACAAGGCTTCCAGTTCCTCCGTAGAATATCGGTCTAACGATTACACCTTGGCATTAACGCTAGCTAATCCTAATTTTATCAAACAACAAGGAACTATTGTATTACATTTTTTGCAAGCAATTACATCTAGGATTACATTGGGTGCAGAAATAGCTTGTCTAAGAGGTTCTAAACTTTCGTCCGGTCAACAGACCTTAATGTGTGTAGCGTTCAGATACAACACAGGACATGCCACATGGTCTGCCACTTTAGGAGAAGCTGGTATTCATATTTGTTATTATAGAAGAGCAAGTCAACAACTACAACTCGGCGTTGAGATAGAAACAAACATGAGGATTCACGAATCAATTGCTACTATTGTATATCAAATTAATATACCATACGCTGATCTCATTTTCAGAGGAATTGTGAATTCTGAAAGTAGTATTGGTTGCGTATTCGAGAAAAAATTATATCCAATTTCGGAATCGTCATTAATTATTAGCGGATTATTGAATCACGCGAATCAACAATTTCGCGTGGGTGTGGGTCTTAACATTGGTGTATAATTATTGTTAATCAATCGTACAATATATATTTTATTTTCGTATTATATCTTCTGTAATATTTATTACAGATACCTGTCAATACGAGGTGTTTTATTACTTTAGGATAATACAAATTGATAATATTATTATTTTGATAAACTTCATTATGTGAATCTCAAATTAAGTAATATTTGTGTGTCTCCAATATATTTTTTTAAAATAACTATTTTTATTTACCGTTTGGTAAAACATAAGAAACAATAAGTCATACTATTGTATAATAATTATAAAATATGTACACTATAGCTCATTTAATTTATGTTTATAAAATTTTACATAAATTTGATATATAAGAAAAGTACAATCGACAATATTATTACTAATTTTATTATAAATTACTGTTAATTGTACTTTATCTATTTGCTTGTTGAAAATAAATTACAAAAGAATCTAATCGTTTATTAATCATCCCCGTTTGCTATTCTTTCATCTAGATCATCTTCCTGTTCTATATGAAGAGCTGTTATTTTTAATTTAGAAAAATCAGCCTCGAATTTTTCACTCAATAGACCATTTTCATCGGCATATTCTAAAATATCGCAGATCAATGGGGATTCAACTTTTAATACGTATTTACACGTTTTTGGCTCTAATAAAAATAATGATATACTGGATGGACTTCCCATTCGATTTTCAACGCATTTTAATTTAACCTGAGAGAAAATTATTTCATTATTAATAATTAATATTTCATTAAAATTACATTATTTTTGTTAGAAAAACTTTAAAATGTAATACTTCGGTTTGTCGTAACTGGCCAGTTTTATCGCAAATACTTCCGTCGCTATAAAAATGTGACAAATGTTTACGCGTTTCCTGAGGTTCCGGTTTCTTATTAGGATGAGCGGCGATCCATTCCAAATGTTTTTCCTTATTAAATTTACCAAGACTGACGATAGTTTTACTGCCATCTTTTTCTATATGATACTGGACTATAGAACGTCCAAAACAGAATTCATATTTCCACCAACCGTTTCCCTGTTAATTAAAATCGAATATTGTAATGTTTCAATCAAAATATCTAACAGAAAGACATCACTTACTCCATGTAAGCAATTTTTCCCGCTAAGAAAGCTTTGAACTGAATTACTTTCAGCAGGAGTTACATTTTGGTCTATTAGCAAATTGACGGAATCTTCCGCGCCGTTATGTTTATCGACAATATCAACTGAACGTATTTCAACCCTTACACGACCATCGCCCTCCTGGAATAAATTGTATACATATATTATAAACACGGATTTTAAACGAACTCTCTGTATATATCAAAATCAAAGTTAAACGATTGATGTATTTGACTATATGCATAGCGAATTTATGCTTCAATTAAAAAAATTATTTTAACTGTGTAAGATTAATAAAAATGCGGGAATCCATGATGCTGTGTTATATATTAATGTGATATTTATAATCACATTAATAATAAGACTAATCTCTTGCACTATATCTAATATGTGGGACTCGTCATATACTTTCTGGTCCAAACATAAGAAATATGAGTCCTGCTGGTGGTAAATTTTACAGGTAATAAAATATAAGAAATGCGAAATATAGCACCAACTTTGGTACACAGTGACATGCGTCAAATCATAGTGCAAAGAGTTAATCAAATAAACTTTGGCATAGGTAAATTAGATTAGCATTTAAAATAAAAGATTGTTCTCCCCGTAATATACATTAATAAATACAAGTTAAAATTTAGTATATGAATTAGTATTTAAAGAAATCGTATAATCAAGAAATAAAGTATGTAGATGAAGAAGGGGCAGAGTGAATCAGATGTTAGCACAAGCCCATGACATTATGTAACAACGGGCATAAAGCATTAAGCCTGTTTCCCAAAAATGTAAATTTTCTGACCTGGCCCTCCTTATCTACATGGAAGATCGCATAGATTTTCTGCAGCTTATCCTGTATAAGAAATAACCAATTCATTATATAAATAATAAATCAACTTAAAAATAAATGAATTATTAGTTTAGCCCCTAGATATGAGCCATTTGATATAGAGAGTAGTTTCCAAAACTAAAGATTTTAAAAAGATAGAAATAATTAGTAATTTTTATGCTTTTACATGATTTAAATTATGAATGATTTTATAGATGTCGACAACGCGTGCTCTTTTGTATAACTCAGTGATGCTTAATTCAAATTCATTTTTAAATTTAATTGTAAGATTTTTTTTTGTATATCATGTGCTATGTACAAAAGCCTTTGCGTCTTTGTAAAAAAACAACATATTCAGAAATAAGTCTATTTTGATTTGGATATTTAGAAATAAATTAATAGAATTCATTTTACCGCTACTTTTTGATTTCGAAGTTTAGCACTCTCCGTTTCCATGGCGACAAGCGCTCTAGGTTTTTGTGGCGTAGAATCAACAGGACGACATTCAATTTTGTTTTCTTTTGAATCTTGTGGTTCATAGTCGGGGTGAAAACATAAGAAAGGTGTTAGAATAATGGCTTCGTATTCACAACTTGACGTTTCTTTCAATGAAAATATTTCATTTTTCCCAAGATGATAACACACGTATAGAACTCTTATCATTCTTGGTTTGTTGTTTAGGTCGCATAGCGTACCATCTTCCATTTTAATTTCAACATACGGCATATTAATGCCATCAATGTTTTTAACCGGTATATCTGACTTTTTAATCATTTTATCATACTCGACAGAAAGTTTGAACTTTTGAGATATGTCAAAAGTACCAAGATAATATTCCTGAGTTTTAACTTTTTTCCCTTCTCTATCTTCATGATATTGGCGTACAAAACGACCATGACATAATTCATACGTCCAATATGATTCTAACTATTTAACAAAATAAATATTATTAGTTTTAATATACACAATCTAGAACATGTAGAATTTGTGGGACATACTTTGAGAGCTAATATACATCTAAAAATAATGAAAAAGATTCATATAAACATATGTTTTATCTTAATTGAAGAAATTGTTCTATTCTGAACCATAGTATTTAGAAGTTCGTTCATGTTTATTATTCTTTCTGTTACGAGTTTGAGGAACCTCGATGTGAAATCTTTCCACAACCCTGACACCTGTTCTGGAGTTAACAGCATATATTATGTTCCAAAGATGTCACCCATTTAAGCCTAATCATGTCTATTGTTGTTTAATTTTAGTGATTTAATAGGAACTAGTTCTATCAACGAAGCAATGCCATTGACAAAATCCTGCAATAGTTGAGAATTGAATCTGGACATCAGCTGCTTGGAGGCAATTATGCTAACCGTTAAGCAACCACAGCTACAAAGTTTGTTATATTTCATATATGAGAATAAATAAAGAGCATATGTTTGATATGAATTTATTTCATTATTTTTAAGCGTGTGTGATCAGCACCCACATGTTCTGTCATATCCAGTATATCTTATCGCATTGTAATGTTATTTTACAAAAAATTACTTACTCTATAAGAACATGTTTTTTGAATAAATAATATTGACAACATTTCTATTGGATTAGCTCCTTTAGATACTTGAGCATTGTTATGATCTTGCTCTATTGTATCAGGTATCGAACATACATATTGTTCATTGTTTGCACTTGTTATAGGATAAAACTCAACATTGTTTGGGGTATCCTTCAAATATAAACAATCAATTGAACACAATATTTTCATATATATATTTTATAGAATAATAATATTCTTCTAATTGTACTCACTAATGGTTGGGTATCACTTTTCTCTGGCCAATTAATTTGAAATAAAACAGTATCATCGAAACTTTTAATTCCCTGGCCAGATATAAAATCAAGTATAACGTTTAATACAATGTAAATGTAATAATACCTCCACATTTTAATAAATTAATATTGTTATATCATATCTTGTGTGAACAAGCTGAAATTAAAAAAAATATTTATGAAATTTATTCTGACAGCTTAAAATGACCTTAAAAATATCAAGAAAATAGTTGCAAACGCCACCAGTCATGACTAACACGAGGTTATAAGATTAATTTTAAAAATCAAAGTAATAATTAATGGAAAATTTACATTTAAACAATACTACCAAAGACTACAGAAAAAATCTTACTTTAGCACAGAGAAATATCTCGAAATTATTATTATTAAAAAAAAAAAATACTTATCGAATAACCAGATCTAATTCCCTAGGATTATTGTTTTGTTCGATAGGTCCACATATTAACTCGTATCAGATTGGTGATGTTTATTTTCGACGAATCATAGAAATTGGCGCGAAAATAATTCAAAGATAAAATCAAAGATGAATTGAAACAATTATTCTACCAGAAATAATAATTAGAAAAAAAATCCCTAAAAAATTCATCAATATTAACGAAAACAACAAATTAATACCGATTTAAATTATTTAAAAATTCTTGAATGATTTAAATTGTAATATATATTTTATTTTTAAAGCTTTAGATTTGATTTTCATGAAAGTTTTCTCTAGTTTTCTCAACATGGCAGCGCACCGCCATTGTTGCTGTCGTGTAACCTTAAAACGACTTAACGGAAACGTTATATTCAGTGAAGACAAATTTTAGGACGGTGTGCCTTCTTAATTAGTGTACTTAGGTCAGTCGAATTGTTAAGAGAAGTTTTTTTTTTTATAGAATCTCTTAATAGTATCGAGAAGACAATACGATAAGCGAAGAGTTGGATTTTTTCTTTCTATTATTTTTTCTTATTCATGCAAAGCGATTGTTCGTTACGAAAGGAAATATCGAAAAAAAAAAAAAAAAATAGTATTAGGGACGTGAAAACTTTTGTAGGACGTGCGTGGCTATAATCTAAATAACATGTCTGATACGAGACGTCGTAGAAAATCTAATCAGTCCTGTAATTCAGATGATCTCTCCGATTCTTACGAAGAGTTGAACGCCACTAAAGAAACGCAGGTGAGTATATCTCCCTTCTATTAAAATCCAGTTAACATGCTACGATTTTTTTCACCATTTTTTTTCACGTTATTTTGTTCCAATTTATCGATAGGAAAAAAATGAGGTCGATAGTTTGGTACTAATCTTACATTTAAGTATTATTATAATTCGATGCTCTAATTCTATTAGTTATTTTATTATAGTTGATTATCTTGTTATGCTAATGTTACGGTTATCTTGTTTGCGTGATATTTGTCTTTTTTCATTACCAGAAAAATTCTAGGAAAATACTATTCAATTTTATAAAATTATATTTATTAAAACTTTGTGTGTGTGGTATAATCTTTTTGTTAATTCTATTTATTTATTTTTGTATTTGTATTAATTTAGTAATAGTAGATGTATTGTTTTGATTACAGAGTAGCGAACAGACTGATGGTCATCAGGATTCAGAATGTGATGTTTACGTGACTGATTCTGATGCTGAATCACAAGAAGGTGTATTGCGAGAAAGTGGAGATGGACAAGAGGAGGAGAAACCACAGAAGAAATTAGATGATGACGAAGATAGACGAAATCCTCAATATATACCAAAACGTGGAACATTTTATGAACATGATGATAGAACTACGGATGAAGTTACCGAAACTAGTACTGAAACTACTAATGAAAGAGAAACTAAAGAAAAGAAAGTATGGAAAGATAAAGAGGATAGATGGGATCATGATAGATACAATCACGAGGAACAAGCTCCTAAGAGTCATGAGGAATTGATAGCGGTTTATGGTTATGATATTAGGAATGAGGAAGGTCCACCTAGAGCTAGAAGGAGAAGAAGATATGGGTAAAAATGCTGCATTTTAATTAGTAAATAATTCAATTCGATATTTATTTATTTGGTATTTAATATTTGTGCTTCTATTTACACAGACGTGGACCAAATAAATATACACGCAATTGGGAAGATGAAGATGCTTATGGTAAAACTGGTAACAATACGACATCTAAAAGCAATAATAGAAAGTTTATTAGAAGTGGAGAAGATTTTCCTGCACTTGGTACTAATAAGGTAATCTTTTATGTAAAAATATATTTTCTACATTCTAAACATTACAATACACGCAATCTAATAACGCATGGTTAGAATTGTTGGCTTATTTACTTAACAACATTTGCTGACATTGACGAACTGGCCAGCATTGAATGTTAATCTCAATTCATTTCTATTTTCTTTTTTTGCTTTGGCAGTAAAAATCATTAGCGTCTACACTAAGTTTATTTGTTATTCAATCCTTTCGATTAATGCATATTTTGAAATTACTTAGTTCTACATTTAAAGAAAATTATTTGTACAATTTTGATTATTATAGAATTCCTCTGCAACTGTCGAGGAACCGGTAATATCATCAGCGTGGTATAATAGTAAAAGTAAGACTATAAATAAAACACAAAATTTTCCACCTTTACAAACACAGCACGACGTGCAAAAGACCAAATCTTCTGGAGCATCCATTGGTCATACGTAAGCAAATTGAAATTTATCAACTATCATTGTTAATGATATTTAGTTTGTTTCAATATTTAAATTTTGAAATTATTACATTCAGAAATGAAAACAAAGTTCTAAACGAGTCCAATAATCCGGTTTGGAAAAAGGAGGGTAAACATGGGACACAAAATCAAAATTCTAATGGAAACAGTGGATCTAACGGAGATGCAGAAAAATCTTTTGAAACTAAAACTTTATCAAGAGAGAGTAACAAACGAAACGTACAAGAGTCGACTAATTTCGGAACAAACAGAGCTCGTGGAAGAGGATTTAAGGCTAATGCCAATAACAATATATTGAGCAATAGAACTATCGAAACCAAACCTAAAGGAAGAGGAGCTGGACCAATTAATTCTGATAATAGACGGAGTAATACAATACAACACGACGATGATAATCAAATTACGCACGAGATGAAAAATATTCATATCAACGATGGCGCGCAATATCATCAAAGTGGTAAACATAATAGTAAGTTGACATTTTATTAATGAGGAATCAATAATTGAATAAATCGATCGAATTTTATTTAAAAATAAAAATAAATTTTTTCTCAGAAAATTATTATGCGCAATCCTCTGGTCAACAAAGAGTTAACACTGTGCCTCCGAGAATGCAACAGCAGCAATCTCATCCAACGCAATCGCAACAAGGACACCAATCGCAACAAACGGCTCAACAGCAAGATAGTTCTGGCAATAGACCAAAGCGATACTCCAGCCTTCGTCAACGTCCTGCGGTTTCAGAAAATCCTACGCAACAGAATTATCAGCTCCCTCATGGACAGCATGGGCAACATGCACAACACACACAACACGCACAGCATACTCAGCATTCACAGCATGCTCAACATGGGCAGCATGGACAACATGGGCAACATGGTCCACATGGGCAACACGGTCAACATGGGCAACACAGTCAACATGGGCAACACAACCAACATGGGCAACATGGATATTTTGCTCCTCAAGGTAGTTAAACAAAATATTTATATGTATATATAGTAATAAAAATAATAGTAATATTAAAATAATAAAGCATCTGTCCCTCTCTCTCTCTCTCTCTCCCCCTCTCTCTCTCTCTCTCTCTCTC